GGGGCGTAAACATTCTTTGTGCCTCGAGCGCCAGCCCTGATTTTTTTATGCTCCGCGAATGAAGCTATAAATCCAAATGGCCCTTGGCAGAGAAAAGGTCCCCCCCCCCACACCTAGAGGTATAGCTAGAGTGTTTGGCGCCCGAGGACAAGATTCATTTTAAAGCGCCCCCTTTTCTTTTTTTAAAACTCTCAAACCCATTATTTTCATCAATAAAATAACATCAGCGCACATTTTGGCGCCCCTAACTAGTCTCCCCCCCCCTACTCTCCCCCTTAGTTACGCCGCTGCTCACACCTGCTCTAAACAAATGAGTCCTCGATTTCCAAAAAAAAAAATAAATAAATAAATAAAAGACAACAGCAAACAACTATTTTGAAATATCCAAGGGACCAACTGTATTTATTGTTTAATTAGGCCTCCATTGTTTGCAATATTAGTGAATGCTCACACATTTTTGGTGCATTCACATTCAGATCATGCTTTTGTTTTTGTTATCTTTTTGTTATTTTTAACATGAAGTGGTCTGTATTCAAATAAATAATTGAATAACTCGAACATGCGCGCGCGCGTGTGTGTGTGTGTGGTTTTATATTTAAAAAAAAAAATTACTTGAATTTCACGACCCATCAGAAGGCAATACCTAATAATGAGCATTTTATTATTATATGTGTTGTATTGCTACCGAGTGAGTATGAATTGGCTCAAATAAATGTGTGAATGTTCAACTAGATTTCATAGCGCTATAACATATTGGTCCCCCGTATTTATGACGCCAGGCTCGTGTCATGAAAAGATTGATAAGGGTTAAAAATCGTGCAGATGATTTTTCAACCAGAAAATATTCTTTGAAGCAGTGGTTCCCCACCTGTGCTACGTGGTTGCTCCATGGAAACAAAAAAACACATCATTTTAATTTGTAAGACATCTAAGGGGCTCCCTCCTTGAAATAGATAATCAAAAGGGCTCACAGTTTCTTAAAGGTTGGGAACCACTGTTTAAAAAAAAAAAGAGACACATGGATGAAATCTTTGTGAACGCTTGTTATCCATGCTTAATTTGTTTACAATTAATAACCACAGATTCCAAACATTTTTTGAATTGCAACCCCATTTTATAGATGCAAAGTCCCCAAAATCAATAAAAAAATTAATAAAAAAGTAAATACGGTAATTAAACAACACATCGCAAACTGATGAATGCTATTAAATGCACTTCATTAAGACACCGATTGCAAATGAAATTGATGTCATTTTTTTTTTTTAAAGTTATTTTTTCAGCAGGCGACCCCAATCAGGGATTTAGGTTATGATTAAGAATATTTGGCTTACATGATTCAAAGAGATGATTTTTATTTTGAACGTTTATCGTGATAGTAATGTGTAGTAATCCCTAAGTTTATTTTGAAATATTTGCATTATTCAGAATTTCTAACCTCCTTTAAAAATTATGATATCATGGAATTTCACTATTGGAAAAAAAAAAGGGGGGGGGGGGAATGAGAAGTATCATAGACCATGTGATAAGGATACTCCTAGATAACTTACTGTTAACTTATTTGTACGTATCTTCATCTTGTATGTATTGGGGACTGCTGTGTATTTTCATGACAAGTGACAATTTTATCTGCATGACTGCATGTGTCACAATGGTTATAATACTGAAATTTGCAGTTTTTAATTTACTATTTTTTTCTAGTACTTTCAGCATTTTAAAATAAATTACCTTTGCTGCGCCATAAACTTAATTTATAATCTTTTGATTTTTAAACTATTTATTAAAATCTAAACTTTTTTGTTTGCTTTGCCCTATGTATAGACATATATATATATATAATTTATACCTATGTCAAGTAGATTGTAAATTTGTGACAACCACCACACCTCACCCTCTTATGTGATATGTCATCTGTGAGTGGTATTAATAGCAATGAATATTGTGATACACATTTTACTTGTTTTAGATATTTCTTTGCATACTTTCTAGTCCATGTGATAAAATGCATATTAGAAAATGAATGTTTGGCCCAGTGCCATGGCCATGGTAATATTGTGCTGTTAGGCTACTACTAGACTGCTAGACTGATATCTATCTGTGTGTAGAAATTGTGTCTTTTATTTGAAATTCTTATTTTTATTTTTTTGGGGAGGTTTGGTGGCAGGGTGGAAGTTGTGCTAAGATAGTGCTTGCCATTATTATACTGAATCCCTAAAAAAATAGAAACCTTTGAAAATATTGGTTGTTTGGTTGAATAAGAAGGAAAGAAAAACTAGTTTGTAAAAATTAATTGTAAATCTGCTGTGCAATAAATTTTTTTCAAAATCATCTTAACTGTTGACTGGAGAAAATTTTTACAGTATTTGATTGGCAGAGCAAGGTATGTTTAATTAAGACTAAACAAAAGACCTGCCCCTTAATGAGGAATGGTGAGTGGTGAGGTTTAATTATAAGAAATCAGCATTGTCTTTTCTGGGGATTAAAAAAGAAGTTCCAATTGTTGCCTAGCAACTACCATTAGTTTTTCTACTTCACTCTTGTCTCTTGTCATATTTATCACTTTTGGTCTTGCAAGTTAAGATTACGAGACTGCAGTGCTTATAAATATTTATTTAATGTTCACCAAATACAAACATGTGTAATTTAGTCCCTAGACCGTATTCTGTTTACCATGTACTTGATGTACGTAAAAATAATTGTTCTTGTTATGAGCCAACATCTATCACAGATGGTGGATGTGATTTTACCCATCTATTTGCCATATCAAAAATGTATTTTGAAATATTTTAATAGTTGTGTTGGCCTTTTGTGTGTAAATCAGTCAAGTAGTAAATCACAACAGATTTATTGACTATAATCATCTACCAGGTCCAAACAACTCACTTGGCCTCACTACCAGGTCCAAACACCCCACTTGGCCTCACTACCAGGTCCAAACACCCCACTTGGCCTCACTACCAGGGTCCAAACAACCCACTTGGCCTCACTACCGGGGCCTTACAACCCACCTGGCCTCACTAGCAGGGCCTAATAACGCACTTCACCTCCCATTTATTTTATATTCTTTCCAATGATTATCTTTAAAGAATATTTATTTTAAGACCGAATTCACCTTATGTTAAGCAAACCTAACAAGGATTAAAAATGTGAAGCAAATTCAAGACAAAATTCATTTTTTGAAGACTTAAATTAAGTTTAAAACAAAACCTTGACATTTTTTCATTGTATTGTTACTGGCAAAATATTTTTCTTCTATTTTCTAAACTATTTAGTCTCCCCACTCCTACTCACTCGAATTTGTTGCTTGCCATCTACCGGGTATCTTAAGTGATAATTTTAAAAAGACAACTGTGATGAAGAGGGGAGAGGGAAGGTCACTGTATCTTCTGTCCATGAAAGTTTCTGCATCGTCATAAAAATCATTATTGGACCCCTCAAGGCAATCTTACAATGAGATATTTGTAAATCATAATTTAATTGGGTGAGATGGAAATGTGTCCTCTTGAACGCAACTTAATAAGCATTAACAGAATTTGATGAATGAAGACAGTGAGTGTAGCAGTTGCAATACATCATTTGTTTCACATGTTGCTTCAAACTTAATGAGTGAATAAATGTTGAAATCAATTCAAATTGTACATGACAGGTGTTAGAAATAAACTCTGAATGAGGCCAGACTGTAGAGGAGCTGGTACATTGTGAAGGAATAAAAGAGTTACAAATTCAGCACCTGCTTTGTTTTTATTTGGACAGCTGATCCAACAACTTATAAATCAATAAGAAATACATAAAAAGGCTAGAGAAAAACCTGAATAAGGACAATGCAAAATAAGCAGCTGTTTTGGCTAAAAGTCAGCAGTTTAGTATTGTACTTCAACAAGTTTTTCTCTACCCTATGTATATTTCTTATTGCTTCAACATGAATGCAGTTCTGTCTTTTTTTTTTTTCCCCCCTCTTCATATAAATCAAACAAGGCTTGTTCAATGGTTGCACATTTATAACTTATTTCACTTAATGTCTTTGACACCAATAGAAATGAAAGTTTTATTATACTTGATATTTAAGGCCAAATTTCAGATCAACCAGAGGTGTACAATAATTGGGTACAATACGTTAACTTTAAACTTATAGACCAGGGGTCGGCAACCTTTTGGTAATATTGTGCCAAAGTAGATCAGAGCATAAAAACTATGTCAGAGTCAAATAAGACGATATTCTTTAGTCATTGATTAGTATTTTTTTAGTCTTCTGGGTTCCATTGAGAATCGCTCTTCCTTGTCTGGTAGGTTGCCAGCCCCTGTTATAGATCACTTAACATTGACAGTTAATCCCATATCTAAACTATCGGGACTATGACTGCAAGTTTCTTGATCAGGAATCCAATCATGAACTATCCATTGTATTATAACCCAAATAAAATGAAGCAAATTATCTGTACAAAAATGTACATTCAATATAAGCAAGAATTGTGGCAGAAATTTGAACTAAGTTGGGTGATTTATCCATGAATAAGAAGAAACATTCTTCAGAATCAAGAAACCTTCAAAGAATATGTAACAACAGATTTTCTGGCAAGAAATTTTTTTTTATATTTGTTTTTGAGACTTCTAAAAGTTATAATAAAATGAACATTAAGTGGGAATTGAATAATGAGCATTCCGAGAGCTCTGAGATCGCTGCAGAGACTCTTTTAAAACATGATTAAAATTAAAAAATGTTCATACACCCCAATGTTTTAAAGAAACAACAAAGAAATTAAAATCATATTTTGAATCCAGAATCCTACTTTTATTTTAAAAAAACTTTGTTTAAAAACAAATATTACACTACCAAAATGTTTTGGTACACATTTAGTCATATAAAATAGAAACTAATATGTTACACATTATGCCTATAGGCAACTCTGTCCAAGTGAAATTCTTATAAGCCTGGCATAACGTAAGCAACACTGTCCAATGTCTGACTATGAACTGAAGGTGAACAGCCATCCATCCCTGGGACTTGTTGGGTAAGACAGAGCAGGGGCCCACAAGCACAAAGAAGTGAGTCCAACAAAACTGACAGACTGCCTTGAACAGCTATCATACCCTGGAGATTTTGATAAAAAATTTGTGATATACTTCATGAAAACAAACATAAAATAATGATATAATTTTTTTTATTATAAACATAAAATAATGATATAATTTAGGAAGATAAACATAAAATAATGATACAATACATGAATACAAGTATAAAATAATGATTCTGTCTTTTTTTGGGTAGAATCATTAATTAACAGATTTTTTAAAGGGAAATTTGAAATAAAAAAATGTAATCACATTTTAAAATTTCCGTAATTAAATAATAAATTTAATGTTAATAATCAGCCCTCGGTTAATAAAATAATAAATTTATAATTGGTTCACAGAAATGTTCCTAACCTTATGCTCTTGTAGTCTCATACCAATGATACTGAGAGATTCGCCTAGCAGCTTCAGGTGAGCTGCAACATCTATTGGCTCAATGCTTAAGTTCTGGAGATGAAAATACAAGCAATATGCATGTATAAGCATGTAAATGAATTCTTTTGGGTAAAAAAATCAGGGATGACAATTATTGGTATAGCTTTTCAAAAGCATAGGTTTCAGAGTCCTGAATAAAAATACCACCTCAGTTGACATTGCTTTTTAAATGCAGAATCAGTTCAGTGACTGCCACCCTGTAGCCCCGGAGCTGCATACAACTCTTTCAATTAATAAATGCATCTCTTTTTATTATTGAAAATTAATATTTAAAAAAAAAATACTAATCTTTAATGCCATTTAAACAATCCAAGCCTGTCTGGGGCTCACAAAATATTTTTCTTAATACAATTCATAAAATTGGTCTTCTGTCAAAAAAGCTTGCCAACCCCTGTTCTAGTTTAATAGACGATTAATGTTTCATTTTATACGTCTCACGTATTCCATTCATTAAATACAATCAAATAGTCTCAATTAATACCATTTCTTTTTTGACAACAAAAGAATTTACAGTAGAAAATAATTAACTTCAATCTCAGATTAAACCTCTTGAGACAGCTGTGCCGATCTATCGGCCCAGAGTCGAATGGTGAAAAAGATGTGCCAATGATACAAGTCTCGAGATTGGCTGGCTGGTCCTCATACCAGCTAATCAGATTGTTACTTTCATTTCTCTGTCATCTTGCCATTTCATTGGTGGCTTCCATTGATAGGTTATAGTGTTCTGTCAATTTATGGCAATTTGTTTGTGTGCCCCCCCCCCCCCCCCCCATGTTTTAAAAATATAAGACCTTAAAATATGGCAAATGGCATAAGCACCCTCAGTGGAAAATTTTATGCAGTTTTCCCGATTGAATCTTATTAAAATGTTTGTTATGTCTTATTTAGGCTTCAACAATCAGAAAATTCAACAAAATTCTGCTTGTAAGACTTGTTTATTCTAAGTGTAAAAAAACAAACTGCATGCATAAATTATGCAAATCAGGATAACTCATTTGCATAAATGTAGAGATTTCTGTTTGATTCATAAAGTTCTGAATTCCCACAACAATATAAATAGTTTAACATTTGTTTATTAATTATTTTATGTTTTATTCATTTTTTTTACAAAGTAAGTGCAGGGCTTGTGAAATGGGATCTGTCTTCTTGGCTTTGAAAGTCCAAAATGGGTTAAGTTTTAATTAGTTACTTTTCATTTCATCCCATTTAAGTGGTAAGTTAACTTGTTAATTGAGGATTTATATTTTCAGTCATAAGAAAAATGATAAATATTTGTATATTTCAAAGAATCCCACGTTTGATATTTGCTCCAATATTTTTTGTACTTTTAGAATGCCCAAGATATTTATGTTACTTTACTGCAATCAAGAAAATTATTACTGAGACCGTAATTAATTTTTTGGCTGACCTGGTCACCAGATTTTGTTGGACTCAACGGTGCCTCCTCCGGGCTTGACTTTTGGGCCTTGTGAATGAACGCAGCGAGTTTATTTGTTGGGGTTGCAGTGACGCTTGTGGATAAAAGTGCAGTTGGATTGCCTGACTCCCGGCCAGCTTTGCCAGTGGAAATTAAGTTAGATCCCTTCTTCCGCCTTCTCTGAGCTTTTCTTCGCCATTGCTAGAACATTAAAGATATAATTCAAAATGGCATTTATTTTAAAGACGCATCAACAAGTTGTTCAGAATATATATTTACTACTAATAATTTCATCAAAATAATGAAAGCTGGCATCTTCAATAAACTAATAAAACCAATTTTATCAGTTCAATTTATTGACTTCACAACTGGCCGTTTTACCCAATTTATAAGCTTCATTAATTTAAAATAAGAATAATTCAATTCACCACTGCAAAGAATGATGTTAAATTTTGAATAACTGATTTGAAACCTTAAGTGATGTATAACTCACCAATTTTTGCTTATTGGATAATGTTTGCCACATTTCTCCAAGTTTTCGGCTTATTGCAGCAAATTCTTAAAAGAATAAATAAATAAATAAAATCAGTAAAAACAGGTAAAAGGGGTAACGTGTCTGGTTTGATTCATAATATCTATTCATCTCATAATGGAAAACATTGGCAAGGTAGATTCATGAAAAACATATGTTGAGATCTCCCAAATTTATTAAAATCAAAAACAAATTTCACCCCAAAAGGAAAGTTATGTTTGTTATTCTGTGTCTTATTTATGTGGTGCAGACCTGTTTACTCTTACGATTGTGGCGTACAATGTATGATTTTGAGGTGTATAGATTGTATATACTGTATGTTTTTTTTCTATAAATATAACTGTAACACACACATGTCCTGACATCATTATCACTGTAACTTATTTCTTAGGCTGTGGGTTATGTCAGTAGCATGGTTACTTGTTTTGAGTTAGTAATTCAGAATGCCGGCTAAGACTTCATCGTTCTTCCTCGTATTATCCAGTCACGCAAATAAGAATACTGAATCCTGGTTAAACTGACAGCACTTTATTAAATCACAGTTTACACAGATAATATTAATAATAATCCTTGCATGAATGTAATCATTTCACATATATATATATAATATTCCATCACTCAGAAAGACACGTCCTCACACTACTATAACTCAGCTCAACTGTACTACATCTCAACTCTAACTCAACTCCGACTAACTCTGACTCTCCTTGCGCTCAGCTCTCCTTATCTCAGTCAACTCATACTTTATTACCAGCAAAGCGTGGAAAACAACCGCTCTGACAAAAACATAATTTTACTCTCCAAAAACGTGGAGCTCACATTTGCATCTCAAAAATACAATTCATTGTCCCCGTGGACAAAACATGGTCAACACCATTCACTGTTCACTCATGCTACCTCTCTGTTTTCATGTGAAAACATAGTACGTTACAATAACGTATTGAACGATTTTGTGATGATATTGTACGATTTTAAGGGTTTGAGTGTAAACAGGTCTGATGGTGTTTGCTTTTGCTATAAATCTCTTATTATCAATCAAACCTTGCAGAGTCCTCATGATTTTGCAATTACGTAAGTATCATTTTGAATGTTCACAACTCCACTCAACACAAACATACTGTTTTGATATAGTCGCAATAAAATATTGCAGGGTATTTTTCCAATGGATCAACATCAATGACACAAATCTGTACAGTGTAAAAGATGCTTCAACTTACCAATTCCAGGATTTTCATTGACAATGTTAGGTCTGTGCGTGTTGCAGAATAACATGTAGGCTGTTGGGGCTCGCTTTGAGAATTTTGATTCCAGCTTGTCCCCCTGGACAAGAAAATTAAAAGATTTCTTAATGTAAAGACAAAAGAATTGTAGGCAGTGTTTAAAATTTAAAAGCTTAACATTCATAAAATTAATTGGTTTTGCCACCTGATCAGAATGCCTGTCAATCAACCTGCATCGAAGCCTAAAATGGCAGACCCTATTACTTCAGGGGCAGAAGAAAATCATGCTGGCGGTGGATTGACTGTGGCACAGTAAGGACACCCCAAAGTACATGCCAATAATCTTCAGCAGGCCTCATACGTTTCGGCAGATCCCCAACTGCACCTCCCCATGACATTTTCCACAGCAGAAGTGGTCAGAAGAAGAACAATTACAGTAACACATAAATTTGATACCTATGAGTGAAATAAAAACAAAAGAAAAGCAATTTAGCCATAATGAACTCCTTACCTTTGGAGTTATGGAGTCGGATTTCTCTTTTGTCAATAAACCTGTAAAAATATAATGGCTAGATTGATGGACTTTTAGGCATTACATAATTTTAATTTTTTAACTACTGACTTTTAAGAGTTTAACACAAAAATTAAAGGCTTTCCAGGTTTTATCAAGCTAGCTAAGTACATTAGAGATGACATTATTTTAACTATCTCAATTCAATCTTGTTTCAATACTCCATTTACATCCAACAATTATCATGAATTTAATAGAGTTCCAAATTTAGCGATGTGATTTTTCTCTTCTTCATACCGCCTGCTTCTATTGTAATAAGAAAATTATGCTTATTTATTGTGTTCTTTTATGGTTAAATTCAACACTTCCCATTCATGCAAAGTTATATTTTGTGTGCTTAAGTATAGCGAAAAAATAATGAAATTCCCCCGGTCCAAATGCAATTTTATGCAAGATTTCCTAATCTGTCTGAGCAGGTTTAACATTTGGGTGATCATTTATTGGAATGATTTATTTCTCATTTATTTTCTGCATTTCACCTACAACACTTCACATTATCAAATAAATTAATATAAATATATGCATGTGTAAATAGAAATAAAAAAGAGAGCTTAGAAATAAAATTTTAAACACTGTAACTGCTCATTAATTATTGTATTAATCGTCTTCAATATTATGTCACGCAAGAGTTTTGGAATCTCTATCTTTTGTCCCGTGGCCATAGTTTTCACTTTGTTCTGACTTCATCGAGCATACCCTTCTTTTTGCCGTGTGGTTTTTTCTTCCTGTTCTCTGTCTCAGAGATGACTAGGTTCATTTCATCATCATCATCATCACCGTCTTCCATTAAATCCGACTGATCCAACCCAGTGCTAGAATCTCTGTAGACATTGTTAAAAGAAGATGATGACACACTGCAACTGGGCCTAATACTTTACTGTCCTTTACTTTTAAGAAGTTCATCATAAAAATTTAAATGGATAATTTTAATAACATAATATTAATATCAATGGCACCTTTGTGAAGTTCGGTAATAATTGTAAATTAAACAACCCCTAAAAACAAAGATTTTTCATAAAAATCATTTAAATTTATAATTTAATTTTATATTAATATTCCAATGTCCCACCCACAAAAGAAAATATTACACGCCAAACACACATGCACATAAAAAAAAAAAAAAAAAAATCTCATTTAGCAAAGTCATTTGGAATTTTATTTCCTGAAATTTTTGAAGTTCGGTAATAATTGTAAATTAAACAACCCCTAAAAACAAAAATTTTTCATAAAAATCATTTAAATTTATAATTTAATTTTATATTAATATTCCAATGTCCCACCCACAAAAAAAAATATTACACGCCAAACACACATGCACATAAAAAAAAAAAAAAAAGAATCTCATTTAGCACAGTCATTTGGAATTTTATTTCCTGAAATCGGAGGCATCATACTCCCTTCATTTTCTTTAAAAAAAACAGGAAAAACTGATTCTTCGGGGTTGGGCTGAAAATTTGATAGAATGTATTGTCATCGACAATGAGTCTATGTGCCAAGTTTCGGCTTGATAAGTACGAGAAGTGGGTCAGTTAGCCATCAGAAGATTTTTCCAGCAAGAAAAACACATACAAGAGGGAAGTTAACATAAAGGATTTTAAAAAACCTGTGAATACTGATTAACTTAATAAGGTCTTATATTCTGTGCACAGAAACAAAAATTAACAAAGATTCACAACAGTGACACTATTACTGTAAAGAAGAAGTAGATATAGATCCCGTAGCTTCCGTGACTAAAGTACTTACAATGTGGAAATAGTCTTTGTTTTGATTTTAATCTTTTTCTTTTTTGCTACTTTAACTGTGGGAGTGTCAAGAGTTCCTTGAACTGCTCCAGCTACATTTTGTCCAGCAACTGAATGATAAAATAAAAATAATAAAAATGGCATACTTAAATATTGGAGCAAAAATGTGCGTAATGTAATATAATACAAAAATAAATTCCATCATGAATAATTCAATTTTGAAGAAAAAGATTAATTAAAAAAAAATTAGTTAATTAAATGCACCATTGTTAATGTCGTGATGCAAAGTAAAGGTAAGAACAAGTAATAAAATAAACATTTCTTTGCATTATTTTGTTTACCTCTAATGATAAACCTGATATCTTAACATTTTATTTGGCCCTGTATATTTAACTACCTCTAACAAAACCTTAAAACTACTTGAGGAGAGCTTAGAATTGCTGAAACACCACAGCCATCTCAGGTGGTTCCAGGCTCACCACCCAAACAAAAATTATATTTCTTTGCTGAAGACGAAACCTCCATTCCTAGACCGCCACCTTCCTCCAACTAAATAAGGAGTTTGGTGTGCACACCAAATCATGCCCCCATCAAATAGTACCGTCGCATCTCTTGCGATAAACCAACGTTTTCCTACTTTCCGGGCCGCAAGGGCAAATATATACAGGGAGAGTAGACACTTCTATCATGTCACCCTTAAAATAGTATGTCTCTTAAAATTATGAAAATGAATCTTTATTTAAAAACATAAAGGGTTTTAGGTATTTTAACTATTAAACCATTACCTAAAGCTACCACATTAGGCATTTGTTGAGCCGCAGAGATTGCTTCCTGAATGAGCTTCTCCTTTTTCTTGGAAGCCTTCTTTGGGGTCTTCTTGGCGGGAGGAGAAAGTGGAGAAAGTTCGTTCAGAATTTGCAATTCGCTTGCTAGGATCTGAGATTCCCCTGAGATGCTTTGATCTGCCAGCGCTTGTTTTTTCTTCTTCCCAGGCTTTTTCGGCTTTGGTTGGCCTGTCAGGGCTACTTGTGCAGACAGAGGATCACTGCTTGAAAAAATTTTCATCTTGAGACCCTGTGGAGGATCCAACCCTGGAGGGGATGAAGCTTCCTCTATTTTTTCCTTCTTAACTTTGACACCAGTTTTCTCTTTGGTTTTCTCTGGTTTGATCTTCTTGACCACCTTTTTAACTGGGGTCACTGTGTCCAAGCCATCAATCGGCGGTGAAGATAGCTTTGTTAGAATGCTTGTGCTGGCTGACATTTTGGCTGTTGATGTAGGGGAACTGAGCAAATATTTGATAACACTCTTGTGGTCGTCCGTGTTGACATTTGTCGGCTGGTGGTGTACTAGGTCCAACTCTGACTCTTGTTTGATGGTTAATGCCAGAAGATCAGTGGGGGTCATTACAGTCTGATTGACAGAAGTAGACACAAATGATCAAAACAAACTAGTGCCTTTTATAGGTTGTGAAAATTGGACTTGAACAAGACATCAAAACATTTTATTTGAATGGCAACACAGTCTATAATCGTGCACAGAAAATTATTTTATTACATTCATTTACCATTTACATTTAAACAATAACAATTAAATGACAGCATGATTCAACAAAAGAAGAATTTTGTAATGCTATCTCTAACTGAATGAACTGCTTTAAACAACTGCAGCAGTTTTTAAATCACATCTAGAAGGAAGTTATGTTTCAATCTTAACTTTGCTCCCGATCCAAAATTTCATTACACATATTTGGACCATTGGGTGATCCAGAAAAATATATTTATAATTACCAACATACAATTACCCATGTCAAGTGTATAGAAATGTGGTTTAAAAATTTTTTTTTTTAAAAATGAAAATAAAAAGAGATACCTTTAAAATCAAGTCAAATACCTGAGTTTTTAATTGGTCATTAGTGTGCATGGGAGTCAAATGTTGGACTGGTTTGACGGCTGGTATAGTTGTTTTCATCTTCTTGGTAGTTACTGGTGTCACTTCTGAATTCGGTACTTTGGGCAATTTTATTTTTTTAGCCGACTTCACTTTTTCACTGAATCCTACTTCAGACTCGTCTGGTTGTGATGGTTTGGGAGTTTTGGTTTTTTTGGTCACCTGCTGGGTCTTCTCCACCTGCTCAAATTCTTCCATTTCCAACACTTTTGCTGACTTTTTCCGCACCTATGAATTTTTTTTGAAGAAGTGAATAGTTTTCATTACTGGTTTATCACAAGAGAATAATAATGTACCACTTGTTTATTGATAATAAACAAACGTCCCACTTTGCTTTTTAAAAACTTACCCTTCCCGATCGCCCTGAAGTTCCTCCATCCTCGTGGTCATCCATTTTCATCAGTTTAGATGCAGAGCCTGTATCAGATACATAATGATCCTTTCAAATAATTTGTGCAATAAAAATTTGATGAATAAATACAACAATCACATGTAGAAATTGTGGGAATGAGAAGGGGATTTTAATGTTTAAAACCTTATTATAGGCCTATTTATATATCCTCTTTTGTTTTGTTGCCTATTCCAAAACATTATTATTACTTGAACTCACCTTCAAAATCTGATTCACTTTCTCTTTTTGACATAGTTAATTTTAGCAAAGCTGGAAAGGAAAAAAAAGATTAAGTTAAACTAATGCTGCACATGCAACTTGATACAACTCTGCACTTTCAAAATTTTCATCATCTGAATTAAGTGAATGCATGCCTTATTCCTGTTATTTATCCACGACCTGTTGTACTACTCATCCCCTGACCTCAATGTGCAGCACAGCATATCCACAGACACAGAATGGTCCACTGGTCTGGGATAAGCATGACCCATTCCATATTGTCAACATGGAGATGAGCATACAATATTTTCCCCAATATTACTACCCACTTGAATAATAAGAAGTTCAGTACCTTTACAAATACAATGTAAAATACCTACAATCAATAGGAAAACAACATAATTCATATGTTTTAAACATGTGATTAACAAAGAAAATTTATTTTGTAATTTTTCAGCAAATAAATAAAAAGAACATACTGCTAATTAAGTTTGAAAGTTAAATGTTTCACATATGTTACATTGGGAAAAAAAGCCACACTTTATGTTATCACTCAAGATGCCTCTTAGATTGGATATTTTTATGGCATTTTATCAAATTAACACCAAGCTAGTTTTTTAATTATATGCCATACTTTAATTCTCATCCCCCTAACCCTAAACACCCCCTCCCCCCACGTCAGTGTTAAAAGATGACACGGACACCAAAATGCAGTACACACTTTTCCTGAGCTGTGAATATTTCAATAGCTCAAAATATGATCATGTAATTAATTTCTGAAAATTTTAGTTTGGATATTTTCTCACTGCATTACCATGATTAGTCATGTGGTTCTTTTCTTTATCACAGGCTTAGAAACAATTTGTATATATTATGTATGTGCAAAAAAATCATTGTAATAACTTAAAATATATTTTAATTTTAATACTTTAATTATAATCTCATTGGGTGGTTAATTATAATATTTAAATTTTGTGGCATTTTGGAAAATGGGTTCAAATATTGTATTGCATTGTTTTTTTTTTGACAACTTTTAGATTTTCTTTTTGGTGGATCCTGAAATAAAGTGTGTAAAGGTGTATTCTATGAAACTGCAAGTTGGGTTTTCTTTATTTTAAATTTATTTTGCATTGTTTTTCTTCCTTTTTACAATTTTCTTACAATTTTTTTACCACAGTGTGTAAATGTAGCCGCTTACGTGTGTTGGTTGAGGGAAACAAGCATGTATCGGCTGAAATTACGTCAGGGGAGAGGGTGACTGCAGGACATTGAGACTTCTTACAGAATATCTAGATAGATACAATAAAGTAACTTAGTTCACCGAAAATTTATATACCGGTATAGGCAGAATTTTTTCCATTAAATTTTAACACTTTTGTGTTTCTCTTGGTAAATAGCTAAACAAGCATATTATCTCCCTTTGCCCTTCCAATGTTACCAGACATATGTTTTTTTACACGGCCGCCCCCTTGGTTGCCTAATGAGTCATGGTAACCATGGTGGCGGCCAAGGAAACGTCATGGTGCTGATAGCATAAATTTACCAAAAATTGAATGAACTATGACTTTTATCTTATTATTAAAAAATGAATGTTTTCTTAATAATAACATCATTATATTTGTGTTATGTAGCATACAGTCCATGTGCTTGAATTTTACTTGACCTCAATTAGAATCCTAGCAGACAGTAACGTCTGTTGTGGGCGTGGCCTATTCTTTTGATGTAGCTTGTTTACAATCGTGTTTACCAATTAAACATGTTAGACTGTCTTCTTGGTATTTTCTCGAATGTGCTCGATAACCCGAGATATGTAAACAACACGTCATAAGTCTTTCTGGAAGGCAGGGCTTACGCCACCTATATAAGGGATTGACAGGCACAGACGGAGAGACGGAGATTCAGATAGATATTATTAACTTTACGAGGCGTGTATTATTCTTTTTGTTCTTATGTATGTGTTTATTTCGCATTTCATCATTATTCATTGGCACATTATTCTAACTGTGTGCTGGTACAAGATCTACCATACTGTAAGTTGATGATTTGTAATGATATTTCTTTTCTTTTGTGATGACATAAATACTTATTAAATCTTATTAATTGTAACTAGAAACTGTTTTGGGTGTCTTATCTTTAATATTGTTGACTCTATGGTATTGTCCTTTGTTAGGCACTGTTTACAACGAGCCAAATAAAATTAAAATAGGAGATTAATTTCTCATATTAGAAGCCAGTGCGTAACAACTTGTAAAGGCAGTGTCTACATGTCCTGCGTGCCGGACGTATATCTCCGGCACTATCTGTCCGGCGACCAAGTCACATGACCGCCACAAGAATACTTAATCGAGATATTAGTCCGGTGACCAAGTCACATGACCCCCGTAACAAAGTGGCTCGAGATATTTGTCTGTCAGCCTTGTCACTTGACCGCGAATGATTCAAAACTATTGTTAATTTTAAAATCAATTTTTTAAATTTCTCTACCAAGTAATTTACTAAGTATCTTGCAAACAAATAATAGAACAAAATAGTTAGGCATATTACCAAAACAAAGGGGGGGTTAAGCAATAATGCATTCTAGAAAACCAGAGGACAGTGAGCATGCTAAAGTGGCATGGATACCAGCACAACATAAATATCCAATCAATCAATTTATTTATTATATAGGGATCAGCCAATAAATGTACACAATATTGGAATATCAATGCGATGCAACTACTTTGCTGGCGACCACTTGTTACATGACATGCTACCCCCAAAATAATATCTTCCACTAGTCGTCCGGTGGGTCGGTCATGTGCCCGCTGGAAGAATTTCTCCCACTTGTCGTCCGGCTGTCTCGTGACATGCCCGCCGACGTATATCTCCAGCACTATTTGTCCGAAGCCCGCGCTGGACATGTAGACACTTTGATTTGTAAATTGTATGATTGCAATGTTGGAAAATGACAAATTACTGAATATTATTAGCATTGTTTTGCACACCACATTGGCAATGTTGTTGTTTGTTGTGTAGTGACATCATGTTTTCAGTTTTATGCTGTCTTGTCGTGCTCCATGTTTGTATTGGTAGTGCTCTATGTTGTTCTTATGAAATAAACGTTGAACTAACTTTGATGGTTGCCTATGCAGATGCTTATTTGATTATCTTCCTTGTGAATTAACTTAGCAACTTAATATTTTCAACATACAATAGGACATAGTCTAGTCATAGGTTAAACCTAATTATTAATTAAACTAACTATAATTCTAATACTATTATACTATAGGCTACACTTCTTCTTCTCTTCTATATCTTAAGGGCCCACGATCAATTTATTGATCATTTTGGCTCCTATGCATGTAGATGGGATTTGCAATGTTTCTGTTACTGGTGTTGATGAGGAAATCATGCAGTAGGGCTTTGAAGGCTTGAGGCAATAGACACAAATGTGTCTAGTGTTGTCGCCTCAACCGTTCCTTTTGAAAGATTGTTCCAGTCCCTGATTGTTTTGGGCAGGAATGAGTAGCTCCTATACTGGCTTCTTGCTGGTATGAGCCTGAATTGCCTGTCATGGCCTCGTCGCTGTCTATGGGGGAGAGGGACGAGTTTCTGTTTAATACTGGAACAGTGGACCAGCCCATTATTTATCTTGTACATCATGGAGAGCCTTGATTGTCGTCGTCGTTTCTCCAATGGTGACCAGCCTAGTGTTTCTAGCATGCTGTAGCGGTTTAGGACAAAGCGTGCTGCTCGTCGCTGGACCGCCTCCAACTTGTCAATGCTCTTCTGGGTAAATGGGTCCCAGACTGAAGATGCATAATCTAAAATCGGACGGATAAAGGCTTTATATGCTCTTTCTTTCACACAGGAGTTGCCAATCTTTAGATTTCGCCTTAAGAACCTTTGCTGGTATGAGCCTGAATTGCCTGTCATGGCCTCGTCGCTGTCTATGGGGGAGAGGGACGAGTTTCTGTTTAATACTGGAACAGTGGACCAGCCCATTATTTATCTTGTACATCATGGAGAGCCTTGATTGTCGTCGTCGTTTCTCCAATGGTGACCAGCCTAGTGTTTCTAGCATGCTGTAGCGGTTTAGGACAAAGCGTGCTGCTCGTCGCTGGACCGCCTCCAACTTGTCAATGCTCTTCTGGGTAAATGGGTCCCAGACTGAAGATGCATAATCTAAAATCGGACGGATAAAGGCTTTATATGCTCTTTCTTTCACACAGGAGTTGCCAATCTTTAGATTTCGCCTTAAGAACCCCAAGGCTTGGTTTGCTTGGTTACATACATTGTTAATATGCTCGTCCCAGCGGACCTCTCTTTGAATGGTAACACCCAGGTACTTTACGGAGGAAACTTGCTCAAGTATATGGCCATGCAGTTCGTATTGGTAGTGTAGAGGAGTACAACTTCTAGAGACTGATAGTGTCTGGCACTTGGCAGGGTGAAATTCCATGTTCCAGCTCATCTCCCACTCAGCTAACAGATTGAGATCCTGTTGTTGGCGATCGTCCTATACACTGCTGTGTCATCTGCGAACAGTCTTGCCTGTGATGTCAGTTTCTTGGATAGGTCATTAATGTACGCTAGGAGCAAACAGGGGCCCAGGACTGATCCCTGGGGGACCCCTGACTTCACATCGACAAAGGAGGAGCTTGTACCGCCCACCACTACTGCTTGGCGTCTGTGGCTGAGGAAGCTAGAGATCCCTGTTTTAGTGGTGCATTGAATCCCATATCTCTGGAGTTTGTGTAGAAGCAAACTATGATTCACACGGTCAAATGCTTTTGCAAAGTCCATTACTAGTACGTCAGTCTGCTTGTGGTTCTCCAGATTGGTCATCAGGTCTTCTACAAATTCGAGAAGCTGGGTCTTACATGATCTATTGACTCGGAAGCCATGTTGAGTCATTGAGTATATTTTGGCTTTCAAGATGCTTCATGATTGTGCTTACGATTATGTGCTCCGACAGTTTGCAGACCACGCTGGTGAGGGATATCGGACGATAGTTGGCAGGGTCAGAAAGCTCCCCTTTCTTGTAAATTAGAGCGACATGCGCTGTTCTCCAGTCTGCTGGAACATTTCCTGTGCATAGTGACGATTGGAAGATGATTGTCAGTGCAGGTGCGATTTCTTTGGCTAATTCTTTGAGCACTCGTGGTTTGATGTTGTCAGGACCACATGCTTTGTAAGGGTTAATGGTATTGAGGAGGGCAAACACACCTTGTTCTGATATCTGGATATCTCCCATGACAGGGTAGGCTCTGTTCATCATTTTGGTCTTCAGAAGGAACTCAGTCTCAGAGTACTCTCTATTGTCACCAAAGACCGACTGGAACTGCTGATTGAGTATCCCCGCCTGTGCTTTTGGTTCAGATGTCAATTGGCCATCCCCCCTCAAAGGGGAAACTCCAGCGTTTGAGGACTTTTGGTGCTTCACATAGCTCCAGAAGCGCTTGTTCTTGACATCTTTGGTCGGGGTGTCTTCCTCTGAGAAGATGCCGTTCATGTAGTTCCAATACGATCAACGCAATAAGCGTTGAATGGTTTGGCGGAGTCTCAGTACCTCCTCTCTCAGTTCAATCGAGCCATTTTTCTTCATACTCATACGTTTGTATTGGCAGTCTCTCCTGTGGATGAGCCTACGGATTTCAGCCGTGACCCATGGCTGATTTATCCTAGGTTTGGTGATTTTTGTGGTATGAATTTCTTCACTGCAGTTTATAGTGCAGGCCCTACTTTGGGCAGTTTAGTGGGTTTTTTTAGGCGTACTAGTACTTATATAATGACACTCAGACTGCTACAAAAACAAAGTCAAACACTGCTACTATGTGAAGTATGTGGTAGGCTGCTAGGCCTAGGCTACACACTACTCACTCAGTCACTGACTACTACTACTACTACATTTCACGACTTAAACTAGATTCTAGAATCTAAATTTTATTAATTTAAACGTGGAATGCAGACATTACTATACTAGTTAAAGTACTAGTTAATTAAAATTAGTCATATGTTCTGAAAACTTAAGGCCTATACAGACATTGACATATCATTATTAAAATAAATCATACCTCCGAGAAACGAATTTAATACAAATAAAGCCCTAACTGCTAACTGGCGGACATAAATGTTCAGCGTCGGTTTTACAGAATTTATTTATTTACTATAAATTGGCTAGCAGTTTTAAATTTTCGTTTCTTAAAATTTTAAACTGTTAAAACTTAGCCTACAATGAAATTTATTGCACTAAATTTCCATCTGAACGTGTGATCAGGACTGCCACACCTTGGGAATTTTTGCAAGATCTTGGGAATTCACTACCCAATCCATGACCAAAACTCACTTTTTTTTTTTTTCATCCCAAGATTTAAAAAAAACCAAACTGTTATATATTTTCATGATCTTGGGAAATATTTGGACAAATCTTGGGAATTAAAAAAAAATTGAGTGGAAGCCCTGCGTGTGTTGCAGTCCACACTAATGATTAATGAAAGTCTGACCCTTTAGTTTTCTTAAAAAATAAGTAATAAAAAATAATTAATATTTATTAAAGCTTAATTTATAACAAAAGGAAATCATGCTCCTTTTAAATAGGCACTGTAACTGTGGAGTTTAAGAGTTGCTACGAAAAGCCTTACCATGTCTACAAGTACAACAAGTACAGAGTTTACAGAGTCAAGTCTAAACTCTAAATTTAAAATTTAAATCATTTTCATTGATTCATTGTCTTATTAAATCTCACATCTCTTTTTGTTACTACAACTTACAACTACATTACAAGTCAAATAAATTCAATTAACAACAATGTCATGACATGTAGGCGTAGGCCTACATACACAAAACAAGGATTAATTCTTAATAATAGTAGGCCTATTATTATTATTAATAGTTAGAACTAATTAGTAGCAAGCCAGACATGAAGCAGCAGTTTAAACAAACAACACAGTTGTAGATTGGTGCAATTTTATGAGAGAACAATAAAAATCGTAACAGTGGCTGGAAAATAATCCAGATCAAATTGGAGGCATGGACAACAATCGACTACCAGTAGTGGTGGAAATTGATGAGAGTCTAACTAGTCTATGTATTTTCATCGCAAATATCACAGAGGCCAATGGCGAGATGGCCACTTGGTCTTTGGTGGCATTGAATGCGGCAAGGTTACATGCTTTCTAATACTATTAGCGTTTCCTGACTGCACAGAGGCTACACCTGAGCCGTTGATTCAAAGATAAATCTTCCCTATTACACAAAATATCATGTCTGATGGCTGGGAGGCCCAAGCACATAGTGACTGTATCACCAATGGCATTTACATGCACTATGTTGTTGTGAACAGAACTTGTTCAATCATGAAGATAGCAAAGTTCACAATGAAAACTTGGAGAACATAGGAATGGGAAAGAAGCGGATACTTCACAGTCAGTTGGTAACATCCCTTGGAAATGTATTCCGCAAATAGGCTTGACAAGTTCAGCGACTATCGGGCCTATATGATTGTGACATTCTTGAAGTTCATAAAAAAAACTATCCAGTTTGAATCACCTCCGAAAAGAAATGGCATATTTCAGATATTATAACTGCTGTTATATTTACATTCTCCAATGACTTTATGTATTTTTGATATAAAAAACTGTTGTTTTATTTATGCTCATAAATAATTTACTATTAATTAATATGACATGACATATTCCTGATATAACAACTGTGTTTTATTTACATTCTCCAATGACATTATATTATATATTTCTGATATAGTAACTTTTGTTTTATTTTCGTTAACATAAATGAATAATTTAATATAATTTTTATCAATTTAAATTCTTGTTTTGTTTTTGTGAACATGCTTTCAGTTTGAAAAGTTAAGCATCAATAAATAATTTAGTGTAATTTAATATAAATTATATAAATTCAATTTCTTGTTTAATTTTGTAAACATGGCTTCAGTTTGAAATTTCATTTAGCAAATCAACTTATAGGTGCAAAAATCTGGCGTATAGGGAGGAAAAAAAACAAGAAAATGGAGAGATCATTTATGCTAATGGCTATGTACCATTGGGGGCCATAGAAATCAAATAAAAAGAAAAGTTAGTGCCGTACAATTTAGTTTTAGTTAACTATTACTGACTGGAGTTAATTTAATAAAGAATATCGGTACACATAAATTTGTATGCCAAAATATAAAATTCTATCAGAAAATTTACTTACCTGAACTGCACTTTTACCGACCTAAGTGCCCTAAGCCTTAGCCTTAGTAAGCCCATAAGCCTAAGACATATGTTAAGACCTTTAAAAATAATGAAACATCTCACTGTCTGTCTCTTACTAACCTTAGTAAACTCTAATTTCCCTAAAAAGTACCGGTATAAAAAAAAATAATTTTTTAAATCACATAAATAGCCAGTAAAAACACTTGAAACAGAGCTACTAAGAACTCTACTAAACTATCTAATAATTTAAATAAATAAAATCGAGTTATCATAATAATATGATAGTTTAACAATGACTAAACTATTACTATTAGTATACCATAGCATAGGCCTGTTATGTCTCTGACTCTGAGACTAAGTCACTAAGCTATGGTGACCAGAAGTCCAGCTTTACCTGGGATAGTCCCCATTTTTTGCATCCCCCATCACAGCATCCCCAAAAGGTCAGGACATGTGGGCCTGTGGAGTTTTCAGAAGAACTGCAAAATTTTCCCTTGACAAGGACAAATTCTCCCACTGTGATAGTCTTTCTCCGATTACAACAACATGTGGACACCATATAAATTATAAGTGGCATATGAAAGTCGATACATTGAAACAAATGTTTGTTGTCAAATGCAATTTCAGTGATTCCTTTTTATGACTGTTGTTAAAAAAAATGACCTGATAGCTATCCACTCATCTCAGAAATATTAGTGTGCCATGATTATGAAATTAATAATTACAATTAGCTTCTTGGTGCTTAATATTTTTGACACATGTCGGTTGTGTCAATTTCATTAAATTTTTTAAAATGTCATTTGTTAGCAGTTAGTTACTCCCTGACAAGATGTTTTTCCTTTTATGAACATTAAACAAGTGACATTTTCTGAGTATTGAAAAATTCCTCACAAAAAATTTCTGGTACTTATCTACCTTATTGTTCACAAATATTTTACCTGTGATTCTTAATTAACACAACATAAGGTTCTGCTACGTCCACAACATACAGAACCGGTATATTAGATATTGTACACTAATGAAGTTGTTCTTTGCCCTTCAGTCAATTTTTTACATTTTTACCAACCGTTTTTGTCTTCAGTGGTGGGGGTTCCTACACCCCGGGTCCCAGGTTAACCCCCCCCTCCCCCACCAACCCGGGGGTCCCATGTTACCCCCAGTAAAATCGGATCACCATAACTAAGCCTAACTCTAACTTACTCTCTGAGCATGGATACTAGTAGGTATCTATCATAGTTCAAAGATTTTCTTTTAGAGGAGTGACACTCTGTGCATGCCCTGTATAAGTCCTAACCCATACAAATTCATACCTGATAGGGATACAAAACATTACTGACGTCACTTCATCACAGGTATCAGGGTTGGGCTTAGATCTAGCATTAGGAGGAGTTTGTCTTCCTGTATGCAGTACCATACTGATTCTTGCTGTCCTTGACTTACCTCAAATTAATACTTGAAATTTTAAGAGTATTTAAATGAAACAACTTGCCACCCCTGCTCCCCCCAAAACTTGTCACCCCTGTGCAAATGCATGTGTTGTGTAGTCGTTAGAGCTGGCCCAGAGATAGGTGATCATACGCTGTGGAATCTTTTAAATGAGAGCTGTAAAAAATTTGAGGAATTCTGTGTGCATTATAAAAGTCATTTACTCCTTTCTCTATCGATGATTTGAAATACCATCGAAAAATAATTATTCACCAAATTTAACAAATTTATATTGTTTTCAATTAATTTCAATTCCACTTATTTTCTGTTCTTGTTTTAATTTTTTTCTATTTCACATAGAATGTCGAGTTATTTCATTGGAGTAGATGTAGGCACAAGCAGTGTTAGAGCTAGTGTAGTTAATGATGTTGGTGCAATACTATCCACCTGCATTCATCAAATTAATATATGGAACCCAAAGCCAGACTACTATCAACAGTCTTCTGAAAACATATGGATTAATGTCTCTAAGGCTGTTAAGGTATTTATTCATTCATTCCGAGATCATCTTAATGATAATACCACACAATTTTATAGTGTTAATAAATGAAGGATGCGTTCAAGCTGTGTGAAACAAATAGTAGGACAAGGTGTGTGCAAGCTTGAATTAAGAAGATGGCAATCACTTAAGTTTTAAACTTGTTTCTATTTCTTGTCCTATTTTCATATGTCCTGTTTGCAGAGTTAGGCTCTTTGATGAAACATTGTCTTATTGTCCTGTTTCTTAATTCAAGATTCCACATACCCTATCCTACTATTTCCTTTAAATTGTTGTTAGTAATTTTTGTAACAATCCGATGTAAATGGAAAAATTTTAAATAAAATGACTGACCCAATACTACCTACAGAATTTTTTAGCATTTTAGGTTCCATTTTGAATGAAAGCAAATGTAATTCTGACATTTGAGATAAATTCTGTAATTAAGTCTTTCTGTAAGTCTTTTGTGCTCTTAAAAAAAAAATGTCTATTTATTGATTACAGACTGCTGTTTCTGAATCAGCAGTAGCTCCAGATAAGATTGGAGGGATTGGGTTTGATGCAACATGCTCCTTGGTGCTATTAGATTCACAGTTCCAACCTGTTTCCATTTCCCCAACGGGTATTATTTGAATTCTTTTACTGACTGTTTTTTTATTAAACAAGTGACTAATCTCATTTACATTTAAAAATGTAAATATCATGTTTTCAGTGTGCTCTTTGCCTTTTATAAATGCAGGGATGCACAATCAATTAGCCGCACAAAAAAATAAGAGTGGCCTTGTGTCTTTAATATCTGTATAAGTTTATTTAGTTGCATGTTTGTATTGGTTGTCCGTTTGTTGGTTGCACTTTGTTCCCCTTTGTAATTTGGGCAAATGCTGACTTAACTTTATACATTTCTTTTCAGCTGAAAAAGATCAGAATATTATTATGTGGATGGACCATCGAGCCCAGAGTCAGACTGATGTTATTAATGCCACTAAGCATCAAGTGTTAAACACCGTTGGGGGCGTCATGTCACTAGAGATGCAGCCCCCAAAACTAATGTGGCTTAAACAGGTCTATAGCTTAAAATACAAAACTTTCTGAACTTGATATAATTGATAAAATCTTGTGAGTAAAGTAATTGTGAACAAGATGATAACATAATTGATATCAAATATTTGAAAGACCTAATAATTATTCAAAGAAAAGTGTTAGCAATTTTTAAGTACATTACCATTTAAAAACCAATGAATGAATTTTTGTTTTCCCAGAATTTGCCTCAAAGCTGGAAGTCAGCATGCCACTTCTTTGATCTTCCAGACTTTCTCACATGGAGAGCTTCAGGCTCTTTAAGCAGGTCAGATGGCTTATCATTTATCAATCCATGTCAACTTCTCTTATTCTCAGAGTCAGATACAAGCATAACTAAAAGTCCCTTCTGAACAAAATGTATAATAAATGCAATGACTGGTTTGTGTAAACTGTATCAAAGAGTTTCAAATAAACCTCTTGACTACAGTGTTTCCTTATAAATGAACTGTTTTCTTTAGGTCCTTGTGTTCTCTGGTGTGCAAGTGGGGCTATCAAGCAGGGGAAGACAACCAAGCATGGGATGATAATTTCCTTTCCTTGATTGGCCTTGAAGACCTTGCTGATAATGGGTATACTAAAATTGGTAAATCCATTATTCACTTTATGCTATTTTTACCTAGAAAAATAATAAATTACTTCTCTGAGTGATCCTTGTGCTCTTATCCCATTAAAACAGTGTAAACAACATTCTGCAGCATACTGAAAATTTGGTGTTTTACAAGGCTTAAAGGACTAAGCAATTGAGAAAAATTAAATTAAAAATGTTCCTAAAACGTTTTTTTTTTTTACAAGTCTGTCATTGGATAATTATGACATCCTCTGTGCTCTGTTGTTGCATGGGGATTTTCCTCAGTTATAGGAAAAGAACCTAGTGTAATGGATTCATGAACCCAGCTTGACAGCTATTTTTGGGGAGGAGGAAAACCCTGAGTTAGAAACCTCAGCCACTGAAGACAGCAGCCAAATTGGCTTGGGTTATTAATTAACAGCCTATAATCTCCTGAAACAATGTGTCAAATGAAAGAAAAATAAAGATGAAAAACTACTAGGCCTTACACTACATAAATTGATAGTAAAATTTAAACAGTTTTGCATGGGAAAATCTGTCATCAGAGATGTAGCTAGGGTTGGTTTTGCCAGAGGCACGCCAAGCTACCACACCTCCCCCCTCCATGAACACGACACCCCCCCGCCCTCTACAGTTGGGAGACATGCCCATCATCATTATCAGTGACACTACAGCCCATGTAGGGCCCTGGTCTACTCCACCACAGCCTTCCATTTGTATCGAACCGTGGCTTTTCACATCCATGCGTGAACCACCAACTGATGTAAGTGTAAGTCCTTCTCTACATCATTGATCTGTCTCAATCTTGATCAGCCGGTGAGCCGTCTGTCCCTAGGTTTCTGCCTATAGATCATTTTGCTGCTCTACAATCTGGGAGATGATGCCGCCCCCCTCAAAAAACAAGTGCCAACTGTGCATCTGTTCCACAACCCTTCCTGCGCCACTGTTTGTTTGATTGATTGGATATTTAAATAGCGCTGGTATCCAATGCTCACTGTGCTCTGGTTTTCTTAAATCTATTTAAACAAAAAAGTTTTAAAATGTTTCTTAAATGATTTTTTATCATTTTCAATTCCCCTCAAAGATTAAGGCAAACTGTTCCATAATTTTGGCGCTATCGCTTCAAAAGAGCGCACTCCGTATGACTTTTTTCTGTGTCCATCCAAACTGGGAGCTCTTGGTAAGGACTGTGTTGAAGACAGCAGGTTCTTTAAGGATACGTGTTATAAATCAGATCTTTATGATATTCCGGTGCAGAATCTTCTATGCAGTTATAGTTATTAACCTACTTCACTTTGTACCAGGAATCAAGACTCTAAGTCCTGGCTCACCATGTGGTTCAGGCTTGTCTCCACAAGCTGCTGAGGATCTGGGACTTGTTCCTGGGATACCTGTCGGGACATCACTGATAGATGCCCATGCTGGGGCATTGGGTGAGTACATAACATTTGTTTCTGTCGATTTGTAACTAGATGATTTATGCATAGCACACTTGCCTGATCCACTAGAGGTTTGAACAGTGATCTCTCATTTATCTCCACAAAAGCTTTGTCAGATCTCAAACACATAACTCATGAAGTTTCTATGTTTGAATTAAGCATAACATCACTGTTGGGTATCTTTCTGTCTTCCTTGCCTTGGGTGGACAAGGTTAAAGGCTCATTGTAATGCTTCCAGATCAGAGGTATCATTATTTGATGCCAGGTTTCCACATACACTGACAAGTGACTAGTTTTTTGTTATACCCCCCCCCCCCCAACCCCACCTACCCCTGGCTGCACCAGGGCCTGGCATTTGTCCCACGCTTAAACATAGCCATATGTGAATAACAGGATATCAGACCTTGAGAAACCAGATTTTTCTAGAGCAGCCTTTTCAATTCTTCTGCAGTGATGTACTTTGTGAATACTGCTTTGCTGTACTTTGTGAATACTGCTTTGATGTACTTTGTCAATACTGCTTTGATGTACTTTGTCAATGTTGCTTTGATGTACTTTGCCAATACTGCTTTGATGTACTTTGTCAATGTTGCTTTGATGTACTTTGTCAATACTGCTTTGCTGTACTTTGTCAATACTGCTTTGCTGTACTTTGTCAATACTGCTTTGCTGTACTTTGTCAATACTGCTTTGATGTACTTTGTGAATACTGCTTTGCTGTACTTTGTCAATACTGCTTTAATGTACTTTGTTAATACTGCTTTGATATACTTTGTCAATACTGCTTTGATATACTTTGTCAATACTGCTTTGATATACTTTGTCAATGTTGCTTTGATGTACTTTGTCAATGTTGCTTTGATGTACTTTGTCAATGTTGCTTTGATGTACTTTGTCAATGTTGCTTTGATGCACTTTGTCAATGTTGCTTTGATGTACTTTGTCAATGTTGCTTCGATGTACTTTGTCAATGTTGCTTTGATGTACTTGTCAATACTGCTTTGCTGTACTTTATCAATACTGCTTTGATGTACTTTGTCAATGTTGCTTTGATGTACTTTGTGAATACTGCTTTGATGTACTTTGTTAATACTGCTTTGATATACTTTGTCAATACTGCTTTGATATACTTTGTCAATACTGCTTTGATATACTTTGTCAATGTTGCTTTGATGTACTTTGTCAATGTTGCTTTGATGTACTTTGTCAATGTTGCTTTGATGTACTTTGTCAATGTTGCTTTGATGTACTTTGTCATAATGCTTTAGCATACAAATGTGTGGTAGTAAATGAAATGTGGACACACTTTATGGTGGTATTTCCTGGACCTCATTGCTTCTTTTAAAGGCTTTATTGTTGCTTCCATACATGTCTGCACATTAAATGTGTTTAAGAAAATAGAAATTTAAAATCTACATTTAACACCCAAAATTAAATCAAGCTGTGAAGATGCAAACAATGGTTGTTGCGATCTGTTTCATGCTGTTTACCATTTTCTGTCTCACAGCTTGTTTAGGCTGCAACCCCAGTTGCAAGTCATTGGTGTCAGATATAGAAAACTGTTTGGTGGTCATAGCTGGAACGTCCACTTGTCATGTCATTGTAAGAGCTCATTTACCATAATTCATTTCAGTAAATGCAGTTTGACAATAGCAATTTTTTCCATATGTTTATGTAGTTGTAATTTTTTTGGAAAGCACAGAAAAAAAACCCAACAACCAAAAAAACCCCTAATATTATATAATTCTATACTTTAAAAACCATAACATGCTTGTGATACTCTCTTTGCTGATATGATGATGGCCATTTCCATGAGCTACCTAACTACTCACTGACACATTGCATTCCATGTATGTTTCCAAATGTTGCTGTTGCTTACCCTAAATTTAAAAAGTTACCACATTATTAGTCTGCTGCCTTGTACTTGTATGTGTTATCTTTTCATAGTGCAGTAAAAGTCAAGTGTCTGTGCCTGGAGTCTGGGGGCCGTACTACTCAGCCATACTGCCAGCCATGTGGATTAATGAAGGGGGGCAGAGTGCAACTGGACAGTTGGTGAGGTATAAGGACATTGATGCACAGAATAAATGTGTTGAGATTTTTACTAATAGAAGTTGGCAGACATGGTTCAGTCACTGATATCTTATACACATGCAAGTCTGGATTAGAAGGAAAGTTATCATCGACAATGGTTGAAGCATTCAGCTAATTACAGAAGAAATTAAGTGTACAAAGTCCAAAAAGCAAAAAACTCCTATTTTTAGTTTTGAAATTAAGAGAGATACAGAACAAAGAAGGATGAACAAATTACTGTTTAATTATATGCTCTCTTGTGTTTTGCATATATTTTGTGGTGCACTTCACTGAGACATCTGAAAATCGTAATGTTGGGTTACCTAACTAAAACGGCTCTCATTGGATAAGTGTATATAAATTAATTAATTTAGCAAATTGATATTACTGTATAATACTGTGCATAATGTGAAATGTTTTGGTTAAAAATACTACTTAATACTACTTTATTCTAGTGTTTCGCATTATACATATGTGTAAACATCTTTTCATTACTGTTATATGATATTAATTGACTTCCACATTCTTTGCATTCTTTTTAGAGGCTTTGGTACTTTTACAAAATATTATCAAGACCTGCTGGTTTCTGATTTTGCATTGCTAGCTTGAATACACAAATCTCTAAGTACATAAATGGATTAGGGTGATTCCATCTTAAATTCTTTGCAAAATTTTATGGACATGAAGATAAATGGATTAGATATTGCAACTTGAATTTCATTAAATGCATTGTAATTTTTGTAGTCATGATATTTTAATCTCCAAGATCATAGTTCTTGTCTAGTTCTGTGCACTGACTTCTCAGAAGAGATAGGACAGTTAGTATTTTACTTTCAGATTGACTTCGTCTCAACCAATCACTCAGCATTTGCTACAGTAAAGGACAAGGCAGAGATCAGGTACTTTTTAAAACCATATAAAACTGGAGCTCAGGACAACCCTATAGAACATTTGGCACTCTGTTTTAAAATTTTGTCTATATTCTTGTATTTTTAAAACTAAAATTAAAGTCTTTTAAACACAATGGCCCTAGAAGAGAACTGTGCATGATCATACTATGTGTGAATGGACAGCTACATAGAAAGTTTTTGATTTCAAGACTAGTAGTGAAGCATCAATATTTCAGAATGAGGTTTCTATGAAAAGTTTCATAATAAACTAATGTCTGATATCTCAATAGTGCATAAGGTGAATATGAATTTGCTTTCATGATAAATATTTACTCTTCATGTTCAGTGGCCACCATGTTTATGAATATCTGAATGCACATCTGCAATTAATGGCAGATAGAGCCAACTTGTCAAATGTCGCAAGCCTGACACACACCTTACATGTTTGGCCAGATTTTCATGGCAACCGGTCTCCTTTGGCAGATGTCAGTATGAGAGGAATGGTAAGGAAAAGAGATTTGAGTTATGTACAAACTAAGTTATTTTTTTTTAGCTGGAGAGTTCTATGACTTCCACATAACAAGCTGCTTCCTGTATAATAAACAAAATATTTAAAAAGAACATATCTTTCCAAAACAGGTGTGTGGTCTTTCTCTGTCAGCTACTGAAGATGACCTTGCCCTTCTGTATCTTGCTACAATACAAGCTCTAGCTGTAGGTACTTTAGGACTTAAATTTTTTTTAAAAATATTATAAACCGCTTTTTTCATTTAATGGAATGGACTTTGTTGATAATGTTGTCAATTGGCCTAGCAGTTTTACTATTGAATTTTAAATAATGTCATTTTAAAAAAAAAGTGTCCCAGTAAACAAGATTCTACTAACTCCCTTAAACACTTTAAAAAGTCTTAAATATACAAATTAAATAATTATTTATCTAAAAATAAGTATTTTTGTTTGGTTTATACCTATAACAGTATGGCACGAAACACATTGTTTCAGAGATGGAGAAAAGCGGTCATACCATTGCCATAATGTTCTTGTGTGGTGGATTACGTAACAATACCCTCTACCTGCAAACTCATGCTGACGTCTTAGGTAAGGAATCATATGAAACCACTTTATAAAAATGGAGAAGAAAGTTAAGTACTGGAAGAATACTGTGCAAGTTAAGTTTAATATTTTAGATGAAATAACTACTTTTATCTGAATATTCAGAATAAAGAGAACTCACAATCCACCAAAAATTTACCTTTTTGCTTTAAAAGTTAAGTTTCCAATTACACTAATTTTTAATGGTTGCAACAACCACAGTCCTGTCAAGGCTTTTCATCCCTAGCACAATCCTTTGGATCTTTTACTTGTGGATAACATTATGTCTACCTTCAGCCAATGGAGAAACCTTCAGTTTGCTACCACCATCACAAAGAGCAAACATCTTCTAAACATAAACCACTCTTAACTCCTCCTTCTGCATGGTACCTTCAAAAACAATATTTAAAAAATGATCATCTTTTTTATTCAATATATTTTTACATGAACAAGCTTCCAATATTTTTTAATGTATCACTATATTTCTTTGTTAGGTCTGCCTGTAGTTCTCCCAAATACAGAGCAATCAGTCATTCTTGGTGCTGCAATGTTGGGAGCATGTGCATCTGGACAGTTTTCAAGTCTGCAGGTATGTGGTAAAATCTGTTGGTTTAAAAAAATGAGGAGGAAGAAAACTAGTTTGAGTTTGAGATATTTATCAAGAAAACCTTATCATAAAATTTAATGAAACCAAATGCTACACTATGACAATCTCAATAAAAAAAACATCAACTCAAATTTACTCACTAAACGAGACAATCCTCCAACAAGTATCGCGTTCATTAGTAATTGTTGCAACTCAATATTATGTTCATTAGTTGTTGAACGCTTTTCCCGCGCTTGTCTATTATAGTTAGTGAACGCTCTTCCCGCCATTGTCTTTATGACATATTTTTATGCTGAGTCGTGACGTATTGTCTATGCAGTGTTGTGACGTATGTTTTAGTCGTGCGGCAGTCTTGAGTGGAACCTTGGAGTGATAGGATGTTTATTATATTTACTTAGATATTAAAGTTATAGTTATTATGAAAAGGAGTTGAGTTTGTTAATTGATAGTGAGAATAGTACGACGCTTCAACGTATGAAAGAACTGACGAATGTAATCAATCCAAGAAGACAGTAGGAGTTGACATGGGGGCTTCTCATCCGGGATTGGTGAACCTCGTTATTTTCATACTTGAGGTAAAGTACAAGAACATTCTTTAGGAGTTGACATGGGGGCTTCTCATCCGGGATTGGTGAACCTCGTTATTTTCATACTTGAGGTAAAGTACAAGAACATTCTCATTATTCAACTTTAGTGAAGTTACAACCATCGTCGCATGTTCCCGTATTTCAATGTTGGAGCCCCGCTGCCACCGTGTGTCAAGTTTATATGAGTTGCATACGCCAGTAACTCCATCAACCACCTACGTCCTGTATTAGGCTAGTTATGTCCTAACCTGCAACAGGCTAACTACACCCTGCCCGTTATCAAGTTGCCAACGTCCTGTCCAGTTCCAGTGAAATAACTATGCCCTGCCCGTTATCAAGTTGCCAACGTCCTGTCCAGTTCCAGTGAAATAACTATGCCCTGCCCGTTATCAAGTTACTAACCTCGTTTCCAGTTCCAGTGAAATAACTACGCCCTGTCCGTTATCAAGTTACCAATCTCCTGTTCAGTTCCAGTGAATTAACTACGCCCATTGCTGCATCGAGTTATCTAAGTCCTGCCGGTAGTGAGCTACCCACTCCGTGTTCAGTTGGAGTGAATTAACTACGACCATCGCAATTAACTACGACCATCGCTGCATCGAGTTATCTACGTCCTGTCGGTAGTGAGCTACCCACTTCGTGTTCAGCTCCAGTGAATTAACTACGCCCCTCCACGTATCGAGTTAACTACGTTCTTTCAGCGGTGAGCTACCAACTTCGTGTCAAGTTCCAGTGAAATACCCAGCCCTGACCCTCATCAAGCCGCCAACGTCCTGCTGAGTTCCAGTGAATTAACTACGCATTTCCCTGTATCGAGTTATCTACGTCCTGTCGGTAGTGAGCTACCAACTTCGTGTCCAGTGAGCTACCAACTTCGTGTCCAGTGAGCTGTGAAGTCTTGTGGCCTGTCCGGTCACCCAGTTGAACAACGCCCTGTCCTGTTTCAACGAGCCACCAACGTTCCGTCCTGCATCAAGCTGCACATGCCCGATCCTGTATTGGCGAGTTACACACGAACTGTCCAGTGTCGACGATTCGCCTACGTTCTGTCCATTGAGCTGCCGATGTCCCGTGACCCGTCCCGGTCACCCACACATCAATGACTGTTTCCCAAGATCGCCATATAGGACAATTGAAGTTTGTGAGAGAACTATTGACAGTAAAGAACCATTGACACTTAATTAAGCCCAGTGTGTGTTTTGAATAATATTTAAATTCTATAGGACTTTCCACGAACCAGGCAAGTTGGATTTTTATTGTTTTAAAACATTTTTGGCATAAATTTTATTTTGTATTTACATTTTTTTACCTGGGTAGAATTTAGATTTTTGCTAGAGTTAGTTTAAACAGACTGCGATTGGTCCTTATTGTTTACTGTATGATCACCCTTAATTTGCATTGCTATGGCTGGATATGTCAGTGGGAAATGGAGTTTAGAAGAAATTAGGCATGTGGGAGTGTTACTTTGTTATACCGGAGAGAACCTAGAGGAGTATATAAGAGTTAAGTTTGAAGAACAAGAACTTCGAGCTAGAGAGGAAGAACTTAGAGCTAGAGAAATAAAACGTATATATAGACAGAGAGAGGAAGAACTTAGAGCCAGAAAGAAAGAACATATAGATAGACAGAGAGAGGAAGAACGTATAATTAGACAGAGAGAGAAAGAACGTATAGATAGACAGAGAGAGGAAGAACGTATAAATAGACAGAGAGAGGAAGAACGTATAAATAGACAGAGAGAGGAAGAACGTATAGATAGACAAAGAGAGAAAGAACGTATAGATAAACAGAGAGAGAAAGAACGTATAGATAAACAGAGAGAGAAAGAACGTATAGATAAACAGAGAGAGAGACAATTTGAACTAGATAAACTAGATGAAAAAATTAGACTGGCGGAATTAGAGGCAGAACGACGGGAAATTATTTTAAAGAGACAGGCATATTATTATAGCGACAGTGACGATGACGAGAGTCAAGGGGAAGAAATATATTATGGCATTGCCAGCATTCACTGTGAGAATCCCTATAAAAATTTTAATAGAGTTTCTATTAATGTAAGTGAAAACAACTTTGTGGATAACGGTGGACATACTCATGATCCTGACCCCAGGCAAGAGCCGGCCTCGCAACCACGGTTCATGGCTAAAGATACTGAGGAACAAAATGATATTATTGCCTCTGCTGACGACTCAATTTTTTTAAATAGAAATGACAGTGATTTGTTAATTGATCCGTCGGCTAACGTTAAAAGGGACAACGTTGACCGTGCTGACATACCCCCAGTGGCAAAGGGTACAGATATAGCTTTAGATTCATGTCAAAACGAGGTTGAAGTAGTTGGTGTATCCCAGGAAGTCCAATGTAAAGAAGAAAGGGGACGACAATTTAATAAGGTAGAAGTCATTGGAAATGACCTTAGGTGGACGTATGTAGGGGATTGTCCCAGCGCCACAGTATGTAATAAACTGGTGGTTATGGAAACGGGCTGTATTGAAAGCAAAGAGAACCCTGTTCTAATGTCTGAGGACATGATTTTTGTTGTATCTCATGGTGAGCCATCAGATAATGTAAGTCCTGAAGTTGATTTTTTGCGTGAAGTTGATGAGGTGAGTGTAATCCCTGAGGTGGGGGAAGGAGAGAAAATTGTTGTTGATACCGGTAACTATAGTGATGTAAATGGTTCACTGTGTAATGTGAGCAAAGGTTGCTCAAATGTTGATATTTTTACAGAGATATGTACTGGTAATGAATATGAATTAGTTGATAATGTGAGCCAGGTGTGCTCAGGTTTTGATGTTACTGCAGAGATCTGCAATGGAAATGTATCACAAGTTGTTATGAGCAGGGGTTGCTCAAAATTGTATAGTATTACAGAGAGCTGTAATGATGATGAATCACCTGTAAATGTGAGCCAGGGCTGCTCAAATTCGTATATTGTTACAGATAGCTGTAATGAAAATAAATTCCCAAGTAATGTGAGTGAAGGTTGTCCAGATTTTGAGAGCCAGGAGTGCTCTAACATTAAGTTGGAAACCAATGTTGAAAGTGTTAAAGAGAGCGCTGCCAGCTCTAAAGGTGCACTTGTTTATGATTTTCAAGAGGAGGTGAGTTGTCAGGTCCATGAGTTGGGAGGTGAGGCTTTTGATTGTATTGTTAAACAAAATGAATCTGTTAAAATGAACTATTGCCATGATTGCCCTGAAGTTCCTGATTTGTTTGAGTTTCTTTTTTATGAGACTCGTTTTTCATTTTGTAACAATTTAAAAATATGTATTGTAAAACTGAGATTTCACATGAGTTATGACCACGGGTCAAAAGAACAGGGAGAGATAATTTTAATTATAATAAACATGTTGAAGCATAAAGTTGTGAAATCCACGGACAAAAGATATGTCCCGCCATCTGTAGCTGTGTTATTTAAGAGCAAATAAAGGCTGCTCAAATTGAGGTGAGGCATCTCTCACCTGTAATAATGTTAGATAGTTTTGTGTTTTTATAGTGATGGCAATTGGTTTTGTTTAAAAATACACCTTCTTAATGATATGATTTGGATTAACTTAGTTATAGTTTCAAATTCAGTAAGGATGTTGATGTATTTGCCCTGATTTTTGAGATAGAAATATAATTATTTTTATTGGTATGAAAAATGAAAATTAACGTTGACATTCAATTTCAATGGTCTGATTTTTATTGTTGTACATGAATTTTTAACTCTTGAATTGCAGTTAAAATTATGTACGAAGGATTGTTTATTTTATTGCAGTATATCATAAATCTGTTTGATTTTCAGTGATACCTAAATAATGTTTTTTTGATAAGGACCATTCATATGGCTGAAGGGTTCTTCTTGATGTAATTCATGTAAATTTTGTGTGTCTGGTGACGATTTAACTCCGTTAGTTAAATCTGAAATGAAAGAGGGGGGATATGTCGAGTATGAGCGTTCATTAGTAATTGTTGCAACTCAATATTATGTTCATTAGTTGTTGAACGCTTTTCCCGCGCTTGTCTATTATAGTTAGTGAACGCTCTTCCCGCCATTGTCTTTATGACATATTTTTATGCTGAGTCGTGACGTATTGTCTATGCAGTGTTGTGACGTATGTTTTAGTCGTGCGGCAGTCTTGAGTGGAACCTTGGAGTGATAGGATGTTTATTATATTTACTTAGATATTAAAGTTATAGTTATTATGAAAAGGAGTTGAGTTTGTTAATTGATAGTGAGAATAGTACGACGCTTCAACGTATGAAAGAACTGACGAATGTAATCAATCCAAGAAGACGGTGTAGGAGTTGACAATTACAATCTCAATAAAAAAAACATCAACTCAAATTTACTCACTAAACGAGACAATCCTCCAACAAGTATCCAATAGTCCATACCTTGGAATTCTCTTCTCAAATAACCTAAAATGGTCGCCCCATATAAACAAAATTTCAAAAAAAGCCAACTCCACCCTAAGTTTCATCCGAAGAAATCTGCGCCACTGCCCAACTTCCTGAAAACGGAATGCCTATCTCGCACTCGTCCGTCCACTACTGTAATATGGTGCGATCATCTGGGACCCACACCTTAAGCAAGACGTGGACACGATGGAGCGAATTGAACGTAACGTGGTGCGTTTTATCGCTCGAGACTACAAATCCACCACTCCTGGCTTCGTCACTGGCCTCTTAAAAAGATTTGACCTCCCTCCCCTTAAAGACAGACGAGAGAGACTCCGCCTGACATTCTTATATAAAGTGATCATGTGACTGGTACCGGCCATCCCAGCAGGCAAGTACCTCACCCCACAGAAGCCGGGTAGACTGATCAGAGCAAAACGCTCACTGAACACAGACTTCACCACTGACATTCCCATAAACAATTACAACAGAAACAATAGCAAATGCTTCAAAGTGCCTCAGTGCAACACAGTGCAGTATCAAAAATCTTTCTTCCCACGCACAATAATAGCATGGAACAACCTGAACGATGCCACTGTGAACTCCACATCAGTCGGAAGCTTCAAGGCTGCCCTGGCATCAGCTAGGAGCTGTTAGAATAGCAACATCATACCCCCAACTGTTGCAAAGATGCCAGTACATGGATGCAGCAACAAAACAGAACCAGAACCTGAGTTTTTAATTGAGCATCTTTAAAAAAAAACACAAAAAAACTGATGACAGAAATTTCATTTCAGTCATCTATTTCTTTAGTTTTCTCACTAAAAGAAATATGACATAATTATATCTCATTGTTTCATTATGTCAAGAACTTCATTCTTCTACATTAAATTTCTTGGTGGCTAATTTACAGAGTTTCAAAGCTTATTTATTTAAGACTTAAAAACTGGATACATGTAAAGTGGTGGTCCTCATTGAGCTGCTTGTCTGATTGAGGGTCTGCTTGAACTCTCCAAATGACCTTGTTTGATTTCTTAATTGTCAGAAAAAGCAAAATGGTTTTGAATTGTTTTGAATTTATGGCATCTGAGTGTTTTGTGTTGCCTTTCTTAAAAACACAATGTGATGTATAGAGCATTTAGTTGCCAGCTTTATGCCCTCTTTCCATTGAGTACTAAAGGAGCCAGCAAATCAACCACCTTGTCTGGATGCTGGTTTGAAGTTTTTTAATTAATAATAATAATAGCAAACAATAGTAATTGAAATGATAAACCCCAGTCCAATAGCATTATATTTATATAATGAAAAACAGATCAAGACAATAATATCAATGTATACAAATATTTTCAAAACTATATTTTTTTTTAAAACAGACAGCGATGACAGCCATGGGAGGTCAAGGTTCAGTAGTAAACCCAGATCTCAGCAGTTGCAGGTGAAGTTTATATTTTATAATACATTGAGATTATCATATAAAAAGGAGTTTGCTTCATGTTAATTGGCATTTAAATCTTATATTTTTTTTATGAGTTGTAAATTAGAACGAATCTTTCCAAAAAGCGTTTAACAAATTTTTTTATTTAAAAAGAAAAATGTCGAGTACATTTTCTGCTTACAATAGAACATAGTTTATTATAGTCACACAAACAGTTAATTTATTTGTCAAAACTTTCAACATCCATATTTTACAGACTAGAATTGTATTCATATTTTAAGTTCTATAACTATAACCAAAGGATAGACATTAGATTAAAAAGATATCAGTTCATTAATTAAATACAATTATATTTTTTGTTTAAGCTTAGGCAAGTTAATGATCAATTATTTTTTTTCAGCTTTCATCAGAAAAAGTATAACTTGTTCCTAGAAATGATGCAAGACCAAAGAAAGTACCAGAAGATCATGTCTGACACTTAGAGTTTATGACATGCTCTGTCATCAGGATTGTCAGATAACTAATATGCAATTATGATCCAGATTTCTTGATGAATATAATCAGATTTTAACTCATCGGTGACCAGGCATTCCCTTTTTCTGAGCAAGACAATATTTGTCACCAGAGCTGTTTTAAATAATTATTACTTGTGAATTGTTAAACATTCAAATTGATACATCCTATAGTTGATAATAAATAATAGTAATTCTCTAAGAGTTAAAATATGTTCTGTACATAATACTGGAATTTTTGTTAGCTTAAGGGTATGTGTTAATTTCTTAATGTGCTATTTTTGCTGGCATCCATCCATCACAATGTGACGATGATGTAGACTTCACAGAACAAAATCCACAAGCCTTAGAATATTCTTATAAGGTGGTTCCTAACACAGCAAATCGCCCATCTTCATGCCGCCGGATAACCCAAGCGAACATCATATGTGGATGATAAAGCTTCACAGGAGTTGTCGGAATGTTTCATCATGTCAATGCTATTCACCTATGGGACTCCATCTCCGGTTTGAATTCAGAGTTTCCTTCTCTTAGATGAGTTGCCATCCAAGGTTAACGAGTCCCATCCACCCGGGGTGTTGGTGATGTTTTTGCTTGACTGGGCCTTGGTGGGGATTGAACTCCAGACCACAAACTTGAGATTTATTCATTTTAGATCAGCCTCCGGCTGTCCCGCACCCTTGTGCTATTCTCTACTGAAATGTAGATTGTAATTCAACAATAAATATTTTGACATCCAGATTATTCAATCTGTTGAAGCTATGTCAACTAAGTTTCTTTCTGATAATCTTGTCCTTCAAATCTTTATATGCAATGAATCACTGCAGTCCATCTGTAATTCATTGAAAGATGCAGACAAAATAATTAAAACCATTGTGACAAGTCTTGAAAAGCATAAATGCCTCATTATCCATACAGTACAGATGAAACTGTGTGGTGTCACAAAATAGTAAAGGTAAATTCTTACAGATTTTTTTTTAATGGGGCTTGTACTTTGGTAAGGCTCAGAGAAACAGCTTTTCCAATTAACTGCTGTTCAAACCCCACAAGAATAATTAGAATGTTAGACCAATGTAGAAAAAAAAATAATGAAAATTGTGCAGCATTGTAAGCTGCTTTCATCATTGACAGTATTATTTGTGATCAGTGATAGCTTTGTTTAAAGACTGTTTATGTACTGTTCTAAGGATTTATTAAACATTTATGAACGTTTATGTAATCTTAATTCTAAAAAATGCTTCTTCATATATTTTATGGATTTTTAAGTCAAAGCTTATCATTGTCATGTCTTAGGTATATACCAAATTTAAATTAAAGAATCCATGGCTGTTTATGTAAAGATTTATTAAGTCACTTTTATAATGAACATGTTGTCAGGCCTTTATAAGAAAAAAAATTCACCATAAAATCTAGCCCTCCTCAGACATTTTTCTCATCTTGCTTGAAATTAGTTTACTTCCTAAATAAATACCCCCCACCCCCCATAGAAGGCAATTTTACTTTCTAGGTACCAACTTTGTTCATTGAAAATGATGGAGGGTTTAGTTAGCTATTGCTACCCAAACAGAACAAAGTGATTTAATTTATTATTGCTCCAAGTTATATAGGTATTTTGTTGCAATACGATTTTAGGAAAAAAATTACCTGCTAATCTTAATAATGGTGTTGAAAATATCTTGAGTCTAAGCAATATTTTTTATAGTTTCAGTTATTTTGGTTGAGTACCATGTGTTTCGCATATTTGTGTGTGTCAATATTTCTTGGTACCCAGTTGTTTTTCTTCAAGATTTTCTGTAATTTTATTGTAATGCAGGGGTCTCAAACTCACATCATCTGCGGGCTGCAGGAGGTAGAGTCTGAGTGTGACTGGGCCGCATCAAGTATTCCACCAAAAAGCGATTACAAATTCAGTAAGCACAACTGTTACAATGTGCTCAACCTTTAGTTAATAACAAATAAAAACATTAAGGGTTCTCAAGAACTAGGCTAGACTTTCTTCCTCCTACTCATTGTTGCCAGAGACCTGGCAGCGCTTCTTGTTACACAGCTGAACATTTGGCTTGAGTGAGGAAGCAAGCTTGAGTAAGGAACTGAGACCCTCGGATAGCTTGAAGATGCTTTTCAGTACGTTTGGCCCTGAATTTTGACTTAAGTTCGTAGTGGAAAAGAGCTTTTGACACAGATAGGTACTCCCAAAAAAGGCTCATGATCCGCTTGAACAACCTGGAAATCTCAGGGAAGGTAGAGGACAAGGGTCTCATAAATTGTCCATGCTTGTCTGCTTTTTCATTCACCTTCCTGAACTTAAAATTGCACTGAAGATCCATCTGCGTAAAAACATTGGGGTGGGGGGCATCTTCCACAGTAAAGGAAAAAGGGTCGGCAAAAAAAGTTGCTCTGTGTGTTTTTTAGTCTAAAAACGTGGATCCAATTCTTCCTGTAGCTTTGCAATGGCATCAGTATATACTTACTACTGAATGGTGTGCCAGAGTCCATGATTACTTTGCATGTTGGGAAATGGCAGAGGTTTCTCTAAGTACCATAACACAAGTTTTGTGCAGAATGCCCAGACATTGTCATAGGCACCACTGACAAGTTACCCCTGGTCTTGTAATTTCTTGATGAGTACATTCAGCTCCTGTGTAATGCCAACCAGAAAAGCAAAGTCCATGAGTTATTTGGGATCACTTAGTACAGGAGCTACCACCCCATCCTTTTCCACGACGGCTTTTAATGCTAAATCGTGTTCACACAGTAAACAGAAGCAGGCAATATTTATGAATTTTTGATGAGAAGGAAGATTCTATTGTAGGGAGAATGAATTAAGATTTTTTATCCTAGTATGGGCTTTTTTGACTAACCCTTTTGAAAGTGACCAAGCTGACTGGCTCTGAATTTCCCTCACTTGTAAACACTAGCAGGAATTTTAATAGGGATTTTCTGATACTGTGTCAGATTGCTACGATTTACACAATTATAGTTGTGCATTACTCAATAATTGACTTTTTAAACTGCTTTTTGGCTATGTTTGTCTCATAAATGCAATAAAATAAAAACGTTTAGTCCGACGTTAAAACGGTTTTTACCATTATAATCAACGTCCAAATCTATCCAAACATAATAAAATCAGAATTAGACTAGCAGGTAAGATTTGACTTAAACCGTTGCGGGGGAGAGGGGTGTGTGTCAATTAGAAATGAGAATGGGCAAAACTCGCCGCCACATAAACACAAAAATTTGTTCCATGTAATGGGCCGCAAAATATCGTCTTGCAGGCCACAAATGGCCCGCGAGATTGAGACCCCTGTTGTAATAGGACTTCAAAAAAATAAAAATAAAATTTATCCTGCCAATAATTTTGAATAATGATATTTTTGTTGTTGAAAATGTCCTTAAATTTTCTCTCCTGACTGGAAATGAATGTCTGATAACCTTAACCCTTGCAACAGCTTTTTCTTAAATTAACATGATTTCATTAAACCATAATTTATAGTAATAAAAATGTTTATTAGCATACCTGGAGCACTTAAATTAAAAAACTAAATTATATTTTAACAAATAATTTTGACACCCAAATACCTCATTTTTGTTATAATCATTTATTGGAAAGTACATAAATTGTCCTCATTAACTTGTCCACAAGAATCAAGTCATAAATAACATGGTAGATGCACACAGTGAGCCTATGCTTGCTGTTACTCTTGACTACTAACATTATATACACACAGGGGACCATCAGTTCAACACAAACACACCAATTTTCACTCCCAATCCTTAACTATTTTGTTTGTGTTTAAGGACCCGTAAAATGTAACCACAGCAAGCATAAATGTAGTAAAATTGTTAATATTTGTGTCTCTTCAGTAGGAGTTTATATGTTCTAGTATGAAATTAGCAATCAATAAACATAAGATAAATGACACCTTCCATTTAACAAGCTGAATACTGTGAATTAAATAGACTGCCAGTGACATCACCTTTGTTGAACAATTAATATCCATACCTAATTAATTTTTTTGTTGTTTATGTTAATAAATCTATCCTTTAACAGTAAAGATGACCAATGGCTCATATGTAACTAGACCATGAATATATTCAAATAAATCAATTGAGCAGAAAAAAATAAAATAAAGGTAAGTCAACATATACTACATAAGCTCATCAAAATATTTAACCTTTTAATCATGTTGTAGGTTATTTATCTGATAAAGTTGAATGTAGCAAAGTTTTAAAGCAGACATCTTTACAACATTTATGTTCATGCTGGGTACAAGATATGGCCCTCTTTTAAGACATAGGTCTCAACTTTTTAAAACTAAAATTACATTAAAAAAAACAAATAGGTAACAAAAACAGTTGAACAGTTCAGACATTTCAGTCTATAAAACCAGTCTCTGGTGCCTGGGCTCCAAGGGATGGCATTCCAAATCAGAAATCATCTTTGGCAGCCAACAGAGTCCTTGACACCAAACGAATCCGTGCCCCTGGCACCTTGTTCTAGCACCTAAATCTGCTTCAACCCCCCTCCCGTGGTATTTATGACACCAAGAAAAGTAAAACTAATGTGGTCACATGGTGACAATTAAATCTTGGTTCACACTGTAATAATGGGCCCCTGATTGATCCCATCAAATGCTGTTCATGTCCCAAGTCATTGTTAAGCCTTTCCAGCCACCCTAAACCTCAGCTAGTAAACTTGTTTGGATGACTACATAAGGGTTCCTGACATCTGGTTTTAGTCAGACTCAGACTTGATGGTTAGAGAAGATGAATGACTTTCACAAGAGGCTGGTATGAAAAAAATTAAGAGTAATAGTTAATATAACATTGCTTTCATTAATGACTAATGTTTTAGTAAATCCAAATTAAGTATTTATAAAACAAATTTTGTTACTCACCTAAAAAAATATTCCAGTATATCCTAAAAGGTTTTAACTAAAAAGACTGGATAAAGCTAACTAAAGAAAGAACCAATAATAATAAACATATTTTTTATAAAAACAAAAAAATTAAATGTAACAAATGAGCCAATGTAGATGCATTACTCTCTGATTCTTAAAAACAATGACAGTGATTTTGTTATATGTTAAGGAAATAGAATCAATTTACATATGCTGGAATTCTTAATAACAATGAAAGTGATTTTGTGTCATTTTACAGAAATCAAATCAATTAAAATATTTCTGCTTTTATGCAAATATGAGTTATCTTCAATATTCAAGTATTTTTATTATAAAAGTATAAATTAATTACCGTATTTATTGGCGTATAACACGCACCGGCGTTTAACACACACTCTCCCCCCACTCCCGTATGTACTATGGGTCCTTAACATTATATCGGTGTATAACACGCACACATCATTTGCCCCCTATTTTCAGGGAGAAAAATTGTGTGTTATACGCTGATAAATACGGTATATATAATAATTATTTTAATAATAGTTCAGGGGGCATGAAAAAAAGGTTGGGTGTGCCTATATATGTTATATAGAATATATGGGATAAAAATGTCTCAAAACCCAATGTTAGAAATGTTAACATCTGTACATAGATACTTCTTTAAAAAAGGGAAAGTCTAATTTACTATTTCTTAACTATACAATTCAAGGGTGTGGAAAATGTTCATAATTTAATTTTTGAAGATACAATATCTCAAAACCTGATAGATCTATGTACGTAGAAAAAAGTAGATTTTGAGACTTCACAATAGCAAGTAGAGCAATATGCCTTCATTTCATTTTTAGCCCGGTGACACACCGGGTCATACCTTCTAGTAGCATAAAAATGAATATTTTAACTTTCTGTAAATTATTTTCTACACAGCAGCAATGAGCAATGTTCATTCAAAAAGAAGTTATGTGGCACATCTTTTGATTCCAATGGCAAAATTTTACCAATATATTTTTACAATTGGTAAATAAAAACTCCAACTAAGGTTAAGAGTGAAAAAGCTGTGTACCAAAATTTATTTCTGTCATGGTTTTTCAATTATTTGAATGTATATGAAATTGGTAATTTTCATTAATTCTCACATTTTGGGTGATATAACTTTTTTATAACATTTGATATTGATATATAATGGCATCCTTCCGTCTTCACAAGATGATGGAATGGCTATTGACACTTTATTAATCGTTAAGAGGTAGATCCTGGAATGGCAGCCTCGGCTAAATTTCCCGCAGGAGAACCTTGTTAAATTTGGCTTTTCACAATGCTATTTTTTGTTGCAAGGGCTTTGTTTGCAATATCTTCTGCCTATTTGCCATCTGGAATGGTGCTAAGGGATGATCTTCTATGTTAGATTCCTTCATATTCCTTTTGAAAATGTCCTTAAATTGTGGCCGTTCAATAGGTCTTGCCTCCTCTGCCAACTTTCCACACAGCAGATTCTTAAGTATACAGCCTTCCTCCAGTCTCCTTACATGACTAGCAAAAGCGCCTCTTGCTAAGAACGGAGAACATGTGACACATTTTGGCACGTTCCAAAACCTCAGTGTTAGTGTTAGGCACTTTGTCCTGTCACTGAATTAGCAAAATTTTGATACAGACATCTTTCGTTGGAAGCTGTTGCTTTACCATTTTTGACCGGCACATGTGATCCATACTTTATTACACACATGCCTCTTAAGATGCTTTCATAGGATTATTCCACATCCACTTATTCAATTAAGCCATAGTAGCTGCTGCTTTTGCGATCCTGATGTTCATCTCTTCATCAACGGAGAGTGAGCTAGAGATATTGAACCCAAGGTATGTGAAACTCTTAACTACTGACAGAATATAGCCCTCAATAGATACATTTGATAGGGAATGCATTTATAGCATCATGACATTTGTTTTCTGTAGACTAATGGCCAGTGAAAACTCATTACATGCGTGGGAGAGGCGATTAACGAATCCCTGCAGACCTTCTTCAGTTTGCAATTTAAGGTGGCATCGTAGGTGAACAGCAGTTAACAAATTAGCATCTTTTTTACCTTGGTCTTTGCATGAAGGCGGGTGATATTGAACAGCTTACATCAGATCTGGTATGGATCTATACTCCGTCTTCACAGTCCCTGAAGTTAAACTGAAGCAGCATTGAGAAGAAAATGGAGAAAAGCTTTGGTGCAAGTACGCAGCCTTGTTTCATTCCGCTGCTGACCAGGAAGGCATCTGAGACAGCGCCACTGAGGGTTACATGTTTTTGTGAAATGATGAGTGTTGTAATGCTACTATTGTATAATACAATTCGCATTTGCTTACCTTCAGTTTCAGGATCTTGAACACTGCTGTCAGATTCATCCTTCTTCATCTGTAATGTCCCTGATTCAGATACTGGAGAGCTGAGTTTTCTAGAACAAAGAACACAAACCCATTAATAACTATCTGTATTGAATGCATGTTAGCCCCCATGCATACATAAGACTAACAGAACCATTTTTTCTGTGGCTATTTGCAGATGATAAATTCTTATTATAATATTCTACAATCAAGTTAGCTATGATCACTCCAAAGCCTGCCTGAAGTTACGAGAACTGGAACTCCCAAAAATAATACAATATAATCTCAGAATAATACTTTACCATCTAAAAATCGTAAAATACAGTACAGCTAGTGCTCGACTTTCGACCTATGCAACTTACGACCATTCGACTTTACGACCATTCGACTTTACGACCACAATCACTAGCAATACTTTATTAGATTTCAGATTTATTTCTGCCTCCATTATCAGTTGAATGGCGTTGTCTGAAATCTTCGGCGGCCGTGAACATAGAAAATTATAATTTACATTACTGTACACATAGCGTACTCAATTGTCAAATAAATTTGTTAGTGACAGATCTAACTCCCCTTGGTTCACTCCCACAGTTTGGAAGGCCAAGCTTGTTAGGCGTGTAGCTGAGAAGTGCTGGAGAGGGAGTGGCCGTGAAGTTGACAAGCAATCGTTTCTGAAAGCATGCAACATGTATGCGCAAGAAATCAGGCATGCAAAGTCTGAGCATGTTCAATCTCTCCTTATGGCAGCAGGTACTGATTCCTTGCAAGATGTTCTCTGTGGTGAATGATCTTCTTTGGAAGAAATCAGTACCCTTTGTTTTGCCTGACTTGAGAAGCGAACAAGCTGCAATTAAACTGAGCGATTTTTTCACTCAAAAAATAGAAACAATCAGAAGGAGCTTTGGGAAACGTGATTTGTCTATGGCGGAGAAAGTCTTTGAAGGCAACCATCTGGTGGAATTTTCCCCATGAACAGTTAAGAAATATAATCATGGCATCTAAACCTACATCTTCTATTGTTGACCCCATCCAAACCAAGATTGTTTTGGACTGTCTCGAAGTCTTGCTTCCTGTAATGGTCAACATCATGAATATTAGTCTTCAGTCTGCTTACAGTCCCACATCTCAAGACAGCGGTCGTTAAGCTTAAAAAAAGTGGTCTGGACCCAAATGACTGCAAGAATTTTCGCCCGGCCTCCAACCTGCCCTTTGTATCTAAGATTCTTGAGAGAGTTTTGTCACAGCAGCTTGTGCAGCATCTAAACACTTATGACTTACTCAACAAGTTTCAATCTGCATATCGACCTGGGCACAGCGGTGAGACAGCACTACTCCGTGTCATGAATGATGTTCTTTGTAGTGCTGACCGTGGCGATCTGACAATTTTGGTTCTGTTAGATCTCAGTGCTGCCTTTGATGTGATCTACCTTGAGCTTCTTCTGTCGAGACTTCTGAATGTGGCAGGCATTATTGGAACTGCACTTCGCTGGTTTTCTTCTTATCTGACTGACAGGACTCAGCGTATTGTAGTGAAGCAGGCATCTTCCATGGACACTTCTGTTACCTGTGGTGTGCCACAGGGCTCAGTTTTAGGACCTATTCTGTTCTCCATGTACACTATCCAGCTCGGCAAAATTATTGAAAGTCATGGTATTTCCCGCAAAATATTTGCGGATGACACACGACTATAAAAGTGTTTCCGCCCTGATCCTTTGGAGTGTGCTACTGCTGTTCAGGCTGCCGAGGACTGCTATCTTGCTGTGAAAGATCATCAAACAGACTTAAATTAAATGATGATAAGACTGAGGCAATTATTTTTTGTTCAGACGCCAATCTTCGGAAAGTTACCAATGCATCAATAAAAGTTGGTGAATCAGAGATCCTGTTGTCCTCGACTGTCAGAGACCTTGGCTTTTATATTGACAGTAAATTTAGTATTATTTCCCATATCAGTTCTGTTGTCAAGGCATGCTTCTGTCATCTGCGTGCTCAGGGTCAGCTGCGTCCTCAACTAAAAAAATCTGACCAAATCAACCCAGTTCTACGAGATCTCCATTGGGTTCCTGTGAGTCAGAGCATTAACTACAAAATTCTGTCCCTGACGTACAGCTGCACAGATGGCTCAGCACCGGAATATCTCAAAGAACTAATTTACAAACATGTATCCTTGGAGAGCCTGCGGTCTTCATCACAGTACTTGCTGAGTGTTCCTAGTGTGGATAAACACAGAAAAAAGTTGTACGGAGTGCACTCTTTTGAAGCGAGAGTGCCAAAATTATGGAACAGTTTACCTCAATCTTTGAGGGAGATTGTAAATTATAAAAAATCATTCAAGAAACAAAAACTTTTTTGTTTAAATAGATTTTGGAGTCCAGAGCGCAGTGAGCATGCTAAAGTAGCATGGATACCGGCGCGATATAAATATCAAATCAATCAATCAAAACTTACAACCAAATGGTGTTACGACCGGTCTGTCGGAACCGATCGTGGTCGCAAGTCAAGCACTAGCTGTATTGTTATAGTAAATAAATAAACATACAGCATGATGTACACAAGAACTATTCGCGTCGCATGTCTGGTAAAGGTCACTTTTCAAATCAGATGACTGATTTTTATATATGTATTGTTATGCAGGACACTTGTCTCCGTGAATGAACTTTGCTTGACCCCAAATTAGATTCCTAGCACACGCTACGTTCATAGATGGGCGTGGCTCAGTCCTTTGATCTGTCGCGTTTACTGCCGACTAACAATTAAACATGGTTAGTTTGTCTCCTAGTATCCTGTGGAACTTTCTTAATTTGACAAGAAACATAAACAATGTCAAAGGTGTTTCTGGACACGTCGGTAGACCCACTATATAAATAAGGGGTTTCGGAGATTGAAGGAGATTCACATAGATATTTTTAACTTCACGAGACAAGTGTTATTATTCTTTGTGTACTCATGTGTGTTTATTCGCATTCGTCATTGTACATTATTAATTGGCACATTGAACTAACTGTGTACCAGTACAAGATCTACCATACTCTGTAAGTTGATGATTTGTAATTATATTTCTTTTGTTTTGTAATTATTAATACTTAAATATTATTAATTGTAATTAGTACTGTTTTGAGTGTCGTATTTTTGCTATTGTATTTCCCTATGGTATCTTCCTTTGTTATGCACTGTTTGAATGAGCCATACAATTAAAATAAGAGATTAAGTTCTCACTATAGAAGGCAGTGCGTAACAGTATTAATATACAGAGCATTACCACTTAAGTCAAAGCCTTGGTCCTCTTTGCAAACCCTAGATGAACAATATTTAATACTAGGTTCCCATTACCTAGATGTGTTTATATAAATCCTTTTTATTTTAGTAGTTACTAAATAGTAATAATTTAATACTCAGTCCAAAAAGGGGCGGGTACACCAAAATGTTGTATGGATATATTTTAAATATGGCTTCATGTTAAAAATAAACACTAGCTAAATGAAGAAATAAGTTCACTTGTGATAAATCTGGCGGCAATATAAATGTTTCATTTATGTTATTAAATATTAACACCCACCAAAATATATTGTTTCATCTGGTCTCGTAAAATCGTAGTTGACAGTAATTAGCGTACACTCATAAAAGGCATATCAAAATCATAATTATATGCCAAAACCTTAAGGATAAATAGGTCTGAGCCAGTGTATTCTTCCAAATGAATGGATTTTTAATGCTAAATTTTGAACATTTAAAGATAAATTCCTACAAAAGACAACATAAAAAACTTACTTGTTTTTGTGCGGATATTCAAAGTCAGAATCTGCTTTTCTTTTGTCCCCAGTTCTGGCCTCTGAATGAAGTCTTGAAGGCTCTTCTTGAATTTTGAGTTGCTGAATGCGCCAGTCAATAGCTCTGAGTAGATTCTCTGAATCTTTTGTATTAGTCTGTAATTTAATTTTTAAAACAACTCTTTTTAGCAGCATTATTTTAACAAATTAAACCTTTTGTTTCTAAAAAATAAAACCCAAAAGATGTTACAATGAGTAAATTATTAAAAATCATTGACTGCTTTAAATTGAACTGTAGATTTTATTTATTTATTTAGGCATTTTTATATAGCGCTTATCATAAAGCTCTAAGCGCTTTACAATTATTAAAACATGTAAACTAAGTAAATACAAATGAGACACTAGGATAGTAACTACTATTCTATAGAAACAATGAAAATGGCTATAAAACGAGGACACTTTGACACTTCAGGATCAACCCGAAACAGGAAATGAGGTAGGGCAAGGAGGGTGCATCACAGGTCATAGGCGGACCTAAACAGATGAGTTAGATGCATTTGGCATTATCAGAACCACAATATTATTACTGTGTGTGTCATATACCGGTAATTCATGTTCACATGACATAAAAATGCTTTTATACCAGAACATGTGAATTTTTATTATCACCCACACAAATTTAGATCATAAAACTTGCACTTCTTAGTATTTTTAAAGCATTAGAATAATCAAATAATCAGATTCTATTCACCATAATGAGGAAAACTTTGATGTTCTCATCTGTATCCATGGCTGTGATTCTGACAGATTTGACAGAGGCTCTCTCAATGGTCATTCCAGGCCAGATCTTTGTGTTGAGCACCACTCGTAGACTGCCTTGTGTTCGCATTACTTATTCAAGAATTCATAAATGGTGGAAAAATTACATGATTTTTAAGTAATCAGAATTTATGCTGTAGTAGTAGTATATATTTTTTTAATATAAGATTTTCATGAATTTGTATAAATAAAAAAAAAAAAAACTTGATTTTGAGGGAATTTATTTAATCAACTGATTTAATACCATAAAAAATTTAATAAACCAAGTTTACTCACTTTGGTTAAAGCAAACTTAAACAAATTATCTTGAGCACCCCCAACACCTCCCTAAACTAAAGTTACCATATTTTAATGAATAGAATAAATTTAAAAAACTGTTTAAATATTATGGAACTCACCTAATCGGGATTGGAAGGCCTTGGTGTCATCTGATGAGCGATCATTGAGTCTTATTACACCTCTACCCCTTTCCACCCACGTCTGGGTGGGGGCATCAAACAGGAAAAGCTTTGCATTGGCCTACAAATGATCGATATGTATATAAATAATAACCCAAAAATTTGAAGTACATATTTACCAACAATTATCTCACTATATACAGTCGGCTAATTTGAACTATTAAAATTGGCTGCGGCTATTCGGACCTGGGTCTGAGAAGTGAGAGTTTGGGTTTATTAAAAAGTATTTAAAAATTATTGTAGGGTTTGTAAGACAAAATTAGGTATCAAATGAAAGATAATTGAAATAACTATATGTTTGTAACCTTACTTCTTCTGTTTAACTACAACAAATGACATCCGAATAGCATTTAGTCAAAATGGACCCGGACAGGCAGCGCAGCTATTCGGACCCGGGTCCCTTTAGACTCGATGTTATTCGGATGTAATTTTTGGTAGTTTATTTTAGTTAAACCGAAGAAGCAAGTTTACAAACATATAGTCCATTCAATTATCTTTAATTTGATACCAAATTTTGTCTTACAACCTAACAATAATATGTATTTTTTAAATTTTAATCCCAACCTCTCACTTCTCGGACCCGGGTCCGAATAGCCACTTTGATTAAAATTAAGTATGCTCAATGGAAACTTATTTATCAGTTGTAATATTTTAAAATCTTTAGACATAGAATATCAGATTTTAAACATTTCAACTCAATAATTATTGCAAAACAATTACATTACCTAACCAATGACATTTATTTTAAGACTTCCCCACAACAGAGTGGGCTCAGTCAAAATGATAAAATGATTAATGACAAACGAAATATAATGAATGACCTGTAATACGTTGGATTCATCCTCCTCTCCTGTGATCCTCTCCACTTCTTTAAGTTCTGTCTTTGTCTCATGTTTAGCTTGATATTCTCTTGCAGATTCTTCTAGTGTTCTGCCAAATTTACCTTAAAAAAAATATGTTAATTAACAATAATTGCAAGACAATTAGATATGACTAAGATATAAGAAAAAACAAAAAAACTTTGGTTAGCCCTATTATTTTCTTTTACATGTTTGAAAAATCTATAAATTTCATTAGCTGAATATAATCACGTAACTCCCTTATTCAGAGGCTTAATTAAATGTGGCTATAATAATTCAATGTTTCCTTAATTACCAGAGTCAGAATCACTATCGTCTTTGTGAGGAGATTCCTTGGATCCATTGGTCTCTGTCACAACTTTAGAAGCCAGATTCTCTCCAAATATGAAAGCAGGTGTAGTTGTTTGAGTAAGACTAGGCGATGTTACACCCTAGTAGCAATAGCCAGATAAAATTTTAGAAGTTCCACTTACTTGTCTGCACTTAAGAATTATTTTATATAAATATTTATTTATTTAGGCATTTTTATATAGCGCTTACCATAAAGCTCTAAGCGCTTTACAATTATTAAAAACATGTAAACTAAGTGAAATAAAAATGAGACACTAGGATAGTAACTACTATACTATAGAAACAATGAAAATGGCTATAAAACGAGGACACTTTGACACGTTTTGTAAATATAAGTATTTCACAATGATGTAGTCAGTTCTAAAATATAAAAAAAGTTGCAGAGAAAGATAAACAGCAGTTATTTTCAATTAACTCAAAAAGTTAAATAAATATATTAGTCAAAGTGGTTAGTAGAAGAACAGGAAATATTACTTACTGTGACCCTTTGAGACAGATTTTTACCGAAGACAAAATCAGCTTGAGAACTACTGGTGACACCAGATGTATCTTTCAACCTGTATTAAAAAAAAATATTATTGATAAAAAAAGGAAATATTTTAATCACTATTACATTTAAATGAGTAATTATGTTGTTATTGCAATTAGTAGCCCCTGGCTTTATATTTCTTCAACCTTGGAAAAGTGTTATTCCCATTATTAAACTACTCATTGTTAAAATCACAACCAAATTTCATGTATCACAAAAACAATTGTATAGTGTTTAAATTTTGTATATTTTTGAAAAGCTTTCATTAACCTATTCATAAGACAATACACTTTGAAAATAAACTCAAGAAATGCACACAAAAACAACATACCTATTATTTTTACTAATATCTGCCAAAATCTCATGATTATAGGAAGGTTCAGCTGCTGTTGCACCTTCTGGTTCAGGTTGAGCCGGGTGAGGGGAGGAAGATGATGAAGAGGAAGACACTTCACTCTCTGCACCTACTAATCTTTCACTGACAGAAGAAGTTTCTTTCTCTGTTTCACCAGCTGAATCAGCTGTTTAAAAAAAGATAATGCATCAAACAACTTAGGGGCTGTTCTAATTATTTTGTTTTATAAGGTTTAAATTTTTATTTTAGCTTTGTAGGTAAGAGGAACACTAGTACTAGTATACAATTGAGAAAATTGCCTTAAGCACTTTTACAATCTGATACAATTAAACAAAACCACCCAAAAATAATTGAACAAGAGACAGTGTCAACTTTATCCTCCTTGAAGCTAATATTGGAAGCATGTCATAATAAAGGTTAAAATAAATCAGTTCTGTAAAAATTGTTCTACAAGTAACTATAGGAACAAAAATAAATATTTGTTAGGAAGTAAAAAAAAAAAAAAAAATAGAAAAAAATTTTTGATTTAATAATAATTAAATATAATAAAGGTTAAAATAAATCAGTTCTGTAAAAATTGTTCTACAAGTAACTAAAGGAAAAAAAATAAATATTTGTTAGGAAGTAAAAAAAAAAAAAAAAAAATAGAACAAAATTTTTGATTTAGTAATAATTAGAAGTAGAAGATTAATTAAGATTGGACACATATTATTTATGACTGCTAAGTGATATATGCCTATAATGTAGTATTTTCTATTCATACATTTTAACTTTTAAACAATATAATCCTCTTTTACTCCATAATTATAACATTGTACAAGAGGCATTATAGTTTATGGAAGTTATATAAAAAAAAAAGAAAGAAAAGTCCCCCATATAATGTCTACCCAGTACACAAAAATGTAACTTGCCTTTAGTATCACTTGTTTTAGTTGGATCAGGTAACTTTGCTGGTTTAAGAAGTGGAGCTAAAAAAAAAAAGCAACAAAAAAAGCTTTTTAACACAAGATGAAATTAACAGATGCTGATCAAAATGAATTAAAAATATACTTTTAAATACTAGCTAAACATATTACCACCAAGACAAAAAAAAAACAACTCTTTACTCTCAATTCTAAAGTATGTTAGGGACCTCACCTTTAACATTATTGGGCGGCGTGTGAGATGAAAATACAGATGGGCGAATATGAAAAGACTTAGTGGCACCCAATGTGGAGCTGCTGAAACCTGAGCCTGCGGTAAATGTAACATTTCTTTAAATCAAAACACTTTAAAATAGAAAGTTTAAAAAAAAAAAAGCATTATAAATGACAAACGTTTATCTAAGAGTACGAAATTTTAAGCTCGCCTAAAAAAGTATATTAATGACCTCTTCAAATTATACCACATAAGATAAGATTCTTTTATTGATCCAAACAAATGGAAATGTTTTATGCCATTCAGTGAGTTCTCGTAGCCAAATCAGGGACTTATTAGTTCTCATTAAGATCTCTGAATTCAGAGGTAGCACGCTGGTCAATTCGTACAGATTGGGGAACAACATAATTTTTATATCTTTCAGTCCTCGCCCTGATGGAAAGAATTCGTCCCGAACGGCCTTATCCTAAGTATCTGTGATGATGAGGGTGGGATGTATCATCCAAAATCTGTTTAGTTTTACAAAACAATCTTTCTTCAAATAGTTCTTCAAGTGAAGGATGTTTAGTTAGCGTTATCTTCCTCGCTTTCTTGATTAGTCAGTTTATGAGGTATTTAATATCAGACGTTGAATTCCCATACCAGCAGGTAATACTGAAATTAAGTAGGCTTCCAATTGTTGCACTGTAGAATAAGTTAACGACTTGCTTGTTTACTCCGAAATTGTATAGTTTTTTGAGGTAGAACAGTCTTTGGTCAATTTCTCATACAGCATTTGGCTGTGCTCATGCAATGTTAGCTTATTATTAATGGTGACACCTAAGTACTTATATGCCTCCACTTTCTCTATACTTTGATTTTTTTATGTTGAGATTTGTAATCTGGTTTTTGCCCCCTCAACAACCATTTCCTTTGTTTTTGAGACATTCAGCTAAAGAAAATTTTCATAGCACCAATTAATAATGATCTGATCATTAACAAACCAAATATTCTTACCGAATTCCCTATTCACAGCAGCACCCAAACGGCCTGGGGCAATAATACCTGCAAAAATAAAACCATATTATACTATGTCAATATATGTGGTGTTTTTGTAATAGATGTGAATGTCACTGGTTGGAAAGTTCAAAAATCGAACTCATTTGGCACCAAATAAAAAAAAATGTAATTTTTGGAGTACCTGTACTTGTTTAAAGCTTTTAAATAATAGTATGAATTTATTTTCATGTGAACCGGAAAGTTTGAATAATTAAAGCTGAAAATATTCACTCACTTTCTCTTTCTTCTCCTGAACTAGAAGCTGTGGATACAACATCAGTCCTAAGAGGCGCTCGTGGCACGAAAGGATTGGAATACATTCCTGAAACATATAAATATTTTCTCATGTTTTATGACCAATAAGCTAATTGGAGTTACATCACTAAAAATATTACACTGGCACGGCAAGCTTATACATTTTTGCAAATGTCTTTAAGACATTTAAGAGAAAAAAATAACTATAACAAACAGCTTATAAAATGCAAGTATTAAACAAACCTGGGTTGTGGGCTGAGCCAAAAGCTGCAATAAAAAAAGAGAAGGATAATTCACAACAGATCATGTGAAAAACTGATTAAATTTAGAAACATGTGTAATAAAAAAACCCACACCAAACAATGATTTTATCATTAATCATTCAATGTGAAGGATTAAGGATGCAGATTCACAAAAAAGGTAAAGAATTTATCTGAATGAAAACGGGGGCCTTTTAATTATGTGTCGTCGCCCCCCCCCCCACCCACCCAAATGTTGTCAATTTCAGTTGGTTTTTGACAACTAGCTTTAATGCCGACCCTGAGATTGAACCTTCCTATTCTTCAAGACAATCTGAAAAGTAACATGTAGAATCTTAACATCTAGTCTATTAACTTATAACCGTTACTCTTCAGCAGAATTATCAATGATTCAGTAAGTGCGCTTTAGGCACAGAATCAAATATTCAGCGCTTCCTTAATTTTGATGCAAAAACATTGTAAAAGGCTGAAATTTACATATGTTGCCATTCAATTTAACTCATCTTACCCCAAAATCCAGCTGGGGAACTCGCCGATGATAACTTGGATGGCTGGATGACAGGATGTTCCCTGACATCCGAGCTGCTTACTAACTGACCATTATCATGGCTTGATGCTGGGCTATACTCTTGTCCTGTAGGAATACACATTTGTAAATTTCTATAAAAGAAAAAGGTCCCAAACACTTTCATGTATAAGTTTCCTTTTAAAATAAGTTGAATTATCTACATTGAAATATATTAAATAATAGATATAATTTAGATTTTTCTTTCAAAATCAACTACTTTAACTGTATGTTTGGCTTCCTGTATATTTAAAACTCAAGAATGCAAGCATTTCATATTTCTTCTGAATAAAATTAGTTTAGCTATAAATTGGTTGGTAAAGCATAGAGGTTATATTACCTGAACTGTGAACTGTCTGGGAGTTACTGAAAGATGAAGATACCTGCAAAATTGAGAAAATTAAAGAGTGTGCGATAGCTTTTGGTGTGTTGCAAATGTCAGTTATACAAATCCCACTCAAAGTGGTGCTCTGCAAGCCCGTCACTAGAGGGTAAAAAAAAATAATGATTAAAAAAAGAACACATTTGGTATCTGTCTGTGCAGCATTGTGGATAATTCAAGTTGATGGAAAAAAATAAAATAAATATTAATTTGACTAGAGGCAGCATGTCGAAATTTAAAGTTAATTAAATTTAATATTATTTTTTGGGATTATAACTCATGCAATGACTAGACAGAGCCCTTTGTCTAATTTGGGTTTCCTAGGAATAAATTTTTAATAGTTACAGACCTGTCTACCCTCGAACGCCTAAGATCATACAATACAGTATCTTAATAGTAAATAAATAAACATTCAGTATGTATAGTTTTAACAATAACTACTTGCATCGCAGTGTCTAATGAGATTGAGTTAAGCTGGCGTAAAAAAAAAAAGTAACTTCTAAAATTAGATGACAGACGATTACATTGCAATTTATATTGAGTGATGTGAAGAATGAACGAAATAATTTTGCCACAAAGTTATGCCAAACAGCACTGAAGAAAACCAAAGCGAAGATCGAATAAATCTGTCAGTAAGGCAACTACGTTAATATTACTGTTGCCGTGTGTATTAAGTTAATTATGAAAACATACAAAGCAACAATATGACCATCACCACAATCATTACCAAAATTTTGCTGTATTAATTTTATAGACTCAAATAAGTTAAAACCAACAACCCCAAATGTACTTCTAAATTTTCTTTTATTAGGAAAAACTATCGCAATTTATATATTTTAAAACCGATTAAAAAAATCATAGTTGTTACAGATCTTGGCGTACAATCGTAAAAGAACCTCAAAATCGTACATTGTACGCCTAAATTTCGTAAGAGTTAACAGGTCTGTTGTTTCAATAATTGTGACATCTAGCTCTTTCACAGACGCAAATGTCATTAGATTACACCTTAAAATGTCGATATTTGTGTCTATAATTATGGCGCACAGCATTTAACAACTGCAGCTGAGACTTTGTGAGAAAAGGGGGCGATCATAACTTTCTTCCAACTTTTACCTTGGTTAGTTACAGTAATAATTAAGATAAGTATCTATAGTGCTGTCTATAACTAATGTATTATATGACTATTCTTTTAAGCTCAATTTGATCCTCACTGGTCCTAAATATGCCTTGGCCAATTAGGGAGCCAAGGATATCAGTCCATGTCATATTATGATTAAGGGCATCATGCTCTGCTAAACAAATGCCTATAATTTATTGTGTTATTTTATTATCTGCTGAATGAGACCTTAAAAATTAAAGTATGGTGGGGTTCATTCAAGATGTCAAAAAATTTCTATCTGAATGGATTATTTTTACCTTGAAATCAGATGCTTCTAAGCTGTCATCTTCACTTTTGGTTGAATCTGTCAGGACAAGTAGTTATATTTAATATACACATAACTTAAGCATGTCAGCAAGCAAACAAAATCAGAAATGACAACAATACATTTTTTGTGTCAAATAAAGCTGTCAAGAAGTAGGTTAGTGTAACCTTGAAAACTGCAACCAGATCTAAACAATAACTCACCAAATGTAAGTTAAATTTTAACTTACATTTGGTGAGTTATTGTTTAGATCTGGTTGCAGTTTTCAAGGTTACACTAACTCACCAAATGTAAACAATAACTAAAAAACACAAAACAAAAAAAAAAAAAAAACAAAAAAAAAAAAAAAAAAAAAAAAAAAAAAAAAAAAAAAAAAAAAAAAAAAAAAAAAAAAAAAAAGACAATGACATTGCTTGACAAAACTTCTATTAGATATTTCAAAGATGCTTTAAGGATATTTATTAATACTGGTTACAATTTTTTTTAAAAAATTGATTTTTTTGCTACGTTTTTCCCCAAATACATTGAGGTCCATACAATTTTTTACAACATAGTTTAGGTCCTATTGCTTTAACAGTCCCAAAATTCCATTAAAGCCATTCCATCCTCGAGCCCATCCTCTCATAAATGAAATACTTTATAAGAAATGGTCAACAATTCACTTTTTTAAATTAACTAGAGCAATCATGATAACTTTATTCTTAATTAACATGATTACTTCTGTGAAACATACAAAGAAATGAATGTTAGACTAATATATTTTTCATATGGTTTTATTTAATTATTGAACATTTATTTAACATACTATTCCATACATTAAATTAACCTTGTGTAACAACTCAAAAGTATTATTTTTTGGGCCAATCAGAGTGGATTCAATTTGAAAAGGATAAAAAATATGCAAATTAAATTCAAATCTTAATTGGAACGGATAGAGTTTGAAGCAAATGTGTAATCTCATACTTGGATTGTCATATTACTACTGAATACAAGCAACAGTGTTTGAAAAAAATTAATGAATAGGGACAACTAAATTTCCACTAACATTTCTTCTGTTGTCGTTCGAGTAAGTGTATTACAATGAATCAGTTAATTTTAGTGTTCACTGTTGTTTTTGTGTTTAGCTTAGCTCTAATGAGTAAACAATGGAAGTTATTAATTTGTTATTTTTTTAAAATATGTCATTAGAGGTTTATTTCATATTGCCTTATATTTAAAATATTTTTTTCTCTAATCTGTGCAGGTAATACTTTGCCAATTGAATTGGACTTGGCAAATAACATATGAAGATGTTGACCAGGTATCCCCACAGGACATAAATAAATGTATCCCTAAAAGAAAACCTGGTCTCAATATTGTGGATTCTGAAAATCAGAAATGAGATGCAAAAACAAAAACTCCAGGTAAGCTTGAACAAGGTAAACAAACATCAGCTGATTGTAATTGCTTGACGCAGCTTGAACAAGTTGTACTGTACTGATTCTAATATTAGGTCTGCTCGCTCAAGATTTAGATGCATGATTGACGAAGAAGAAAACCAATTAATTAGCATGGATGATTCATTGGACTCGAATGAAAACAATGATTTGAATCAAGAGGATTTGGTTATGCCATTTGTGTTGAGAAATAAAATTCACAACTTAGCAATTTCTTGAGCTATTGCAACAAAACTTTCCTAATATTTTAGAGTTATAATTAGGCTAAGGCTTATTTTCTGAAAAAATTATCTTGATTTAATTTTAATAACTCTTACCAGATTTATGGACTCGTGAGCAGAATTGTTTGAATTTTTTAAAAATGTTACTTTTACATAACATAACACTGTCAAATTACCTACCCCTAAAGTTTTTCTCTATCTATTTACTTTTTTATCACTATTTTATAATTATAATATAATAAAAACATATTCCTTGTTCAATTATAATTATCTAAACTAAAGTTTGATTTTGATTGAAATGCTACAAGGCAAAGGTTTGATAAACAAAAGTGGGGATTTTTAATTTTAAGTTAATAATCATCAGGTGGAATGGAATTTTAGTCCCTTAATTTTACTACCTCCACTGAAAAAATGTGACCTATTGAATGGGTTAAATGAGCCTTTTCAAGGCCTTGGGTTGGTTATCTTGGTAAGAGTAAGGGGACATCATCTCCCTTTTAAAAAGTTGTACAATATTTGAGTTGTCTTGTCTTAGCCTACACATTAGCTAAGCTTGATTTGGCATCAAACTATGACTATGAAGAATAAAGTATACAATAATCTAGTTAATGTATGCATTGTTAACACTATTGCAATGATGCGTCTGCGAATGCTGGATAATGAATATATACAATTAAGAAAAGATAAAAGAAGGATATGAATATGTAAATGTATAATGTATATGAGGCATGAGGCCTACTGAACTGCTACTATACTCAAGCACGAGATTAAGTGGACATATTCCAACATTCCTCTGAATAAAAGAAACTAATTGAATGGAAATGTAACGAAAGTTCTCAACAATATCAGAAGACAAAAAAGAAGGTGACTACAAGCCTATTTCATTTCAACTAGCCCACATATGCATTATTGTTTATAAAAAAAATCTTTGAAATTGACCCATTTTTATTCACCTGCAGCACCATCCGCCATTTTTCTTGTTGTTTAATGGTCACGTGACATAGATGGCGCATTCTACTGTTCCCCGTTCGGTTTGTTTTGAAGACGTTATTTTCCCCATCTGGTACCGGTAAAGCACATCTCACAGAATTAATGGTGACAAAAAAAAAATATAAAAAATAAATGACGAATCCGACGACTGCGTAAATTTAATTCCCTATTGCGAAAATGATTATTCCACTGGATTACGGACAATATTTTAAATATCCCCATCAAATTAAGTTATGCACAAGCTAGAATAGTTTGACATAACTGGCATGTCTAGGTGTGTTATTAAAGTCACTTAAAAATCAAATTACACGCAAACAATGAGGCTATGCTAATTGTACATGGCAAATACAGTAAACACACGCATATGCGACCAAACGGGTAGAGAGGCCAACAAGGCCCCACACAATCCGTCATTAACTTTTTTATATTGATGAAAAAGTACTTCAACTTAAAAATGAAAGCAATGCTTCCAAATTAAAGTTGTTGTAGGCTAGACTGATAGTAAAATTAAAAGAACTTATTAATGTCCTAAATTTGTATTGTTTTATCACTACTTTTGGTTTCTTCAGTGTTTTATTTATAAAGTAAATAATACAA